TGCAGTGGCGCGATGGCGCAGGGCAGGCAGGTGCGGCACGGCACGGCACGATGCTGGGCAGGCAGGCACGGCATGGCATGGCACGGCACGGCACGGCACACAGCACAGCATGCGGACAGCAAGATGCGGATTGCGGATGTCCAGCACGCGCGGCATACGGGATGGCGATGGTGGCGGCGGAGGGCGCCCCGGCATCATGCCGAGTGCGCATCAGATGCCATCGCGCAGCGGCATGTGCCGTCACGGCCTGCAAGCAACCGTTGAGATGACGCGGCTGCGTGGAAGTGGGTAGACGCGCAGATGAGTGGAGCGACTCGGAATTACAAAAACGTCAGCAGGTAACAGCAGCGGCGACAAACAGCAGCGGCGACAACAGGTGCAGCAATCAGCACTCATAACAAGAGTAGAGAAGAACCAGCAGCATGAGTGGCAACAAGCAGCAGCAGAAGAGGGTGATGCTGATGAGGAAGGAAGGAGGGGGGCTGGGGCGAGGAGGACAAGAGCAGCAGAAGCAACAACAACAGGTGTGTGGTGCTTCTCTTTCAAACCTAAGAACCGAGAAGAAACGAGGAGAGCATGGTCGTGAGATGATTGTGTGAGCTGAATGCACACTGGCTGTGCTCCGTGCGTAGGCATGGGCGTGGGATTGTGTGTGCGCATGTGCATACGCCTGCCAAGGTCGCTGCAACATGTTCTCATCCCACTGCTATCATTGCTGCCCCCATGCCTCCCACCCCGCCCCAAATCTCCCTGCCTGCCCCAATCTCCTGCCTGCCCCAAATCTCCCTGCCTGTCCAGAATCTCCCTGCCCCAATCTCCCTGACCGTCCCACACCTCCCTGCTCGTCCCACCCATACATCCCTGCCTTCTCATACCTCCGTTCCTGCCTCATACCTCCCTGCCTGCCCCATACCTCTCCCTGCCTGCCCCATACCTCTCCCTGCCTGCCCCATACCTCTCCCTGCCTGCCCCATACCTCTCCCTGCCTGCCCCATACCTCTCCCTGCCTGCCCCATACCTCTCCCTGCCTGCCCCATACCTCTCCCTGCCTGCCCCATACCTCTCCCTGCCTGCCCCATACCTCTCCCTGCCTGCCCCATACCTCTCCCTGCCTGCTCCATACCTCTCCCTGCCTGCCCCATACCTCTCCCTGCCTGCCCCATACCTCTCCCTGCCTGCCCCATACCTCTCGCTGCCTGCCCCATACCTCTCGCTGCCTGCCCCATACCTCTCCCTGCCTGCCCCATACCTCTCCCTGCCTGCCCCATACCTCTCCCTGCCTGCCCCATACCTCTCCCTGCCTGCCCCATACCTCTCCTTGCCTGCCCCATACCTCTCCCTGCCTGCCCCATACCTCTCCCTGCCTGCCCCATACCTCTCCCTGCCTGCCCCATACCTCTCCCTGCCTGCTCCATACCTCTCCCTGCCTGCCCCATACCTCTCCCTGCCTGCCCCATACCTCTCCCTGCCTGCCCCATACCTCTCGCTGCCTGCCCCATACCTCTCGCTGCCTGCCCCATACCTCTCCCTGCCTGCCCCATACCTCTCCCTGCCTGCCCCATACCTCTCCCTGCCTGCCCCATACCTCTCCCTGCCTGCCCCATACCTCTCCCTGCCTGCCCCATACCTCTCCCTGCCTGCCCCATACTTCCAAGTGGTTGCTTAGCCGCTCTGCTGGTTGTGTGTGCTCTGCTGCATTCCCCCATTGCCCCCTCGTGATTTGCTGTTTTGGTCTCCTGTGCCAGCCCGTTCAACTGCCTCCTTTCCTTTCCTGGCCTCTCTTACCTCCTCTTGACCAGGGGTAATGTCCCCTCCCTAGTGCAGCTCCCAGGCATACCAACAATCACTGCTCCACCCATCCGCCTCCGTCTCCTCCTCCTCCTCCTCCTCCTCCTCCTCCTCCTCCTCCTCCTCCTCCTCCTCCTCCTCCTCCTCCTCCTCCTCCACCTCCTTCTTCTTCTTCTCCTCCTCCTCCTCCTCCTCTTCGCCTCCACCCGTCGGACCCCATGCCATTGCCACGCATCATGTCAAGCCACACTCCTCCGCTCGCTCGCATGCTGCTGCCACCGCTGTGGCGGCACCATCGCTGGCAGCGGCAGTGCCGTGCCGCAGGCCGCTCCGCCCGTGCGTGGCGCCAGCGTCGCGCTGAACCTGCCCACCCGCAGCCTGTCGCTCGGAGGCGGCAAGTACACGCTGGCTTTAAGTGGCGATCTTGCGAGGTTTACGAGCAATGGCAGCGAGTGCCAAGAAGGGGTTCCGCATGGGGGCAACGACGGTGCTGCTGAGCGGAGAGATTGTGGATGATGCGGGGGCGAAGATCACGCCCACGGGTCCTGATGTGGACGGGGCGTACACTGCATGGGACCTGAGAGGGTGGCCCAACGGGACCGTTGTTGGCAGCAATGGTGTGGTGCTGTATGCTGGAGCGCTGCTCACTCTTACGTCTGAGGGCACCATTGCTCTTGCTACTCCTTCCATTCCCACTGCTGCTGCCGCTGCTACCCCTGCTGCTGCTACCCCTGCTGCTGCCACCCCTGCTGCTACCACTCCTGCTGCTGCCACCCCTGCCGCTGCTACTCCTCCTGCTGGTGCCTCTGCCCCACCCCCTCCCAAGGCTGCTGGTGAGTGTGTCTCCTACACTTCTCGTAAGCTTCTCCTATGCTTCTCCTATGCTTCTCCTATGCTTCTCCTATGCTTCTCCTATGCTTCTCCTATGCTTCTCCTATGCTTCTCCTATGCTTCTCCTATACTTATCCTATGCTTCTCCCATTCCTCTCCCGTGCACCTTCTCCCTTTCTGATGTGGTAGGCAAAGTTTTCGTTTCTCTCGAATGCTTCCTGTTTGCCTTCCTGTTTGCCCTCCTGTTTGGTACATCGCTTTGTGATTCCGCTGCACATTTCCACATTCCTCGATTCCCAAATCTCAAGTGGGCTGTTCCGACCTGATTCTGTTTCCCCAGTTGTTCCTCCTCGCAATGGCAGGTTCACTTGCTTCACCGGCCGCTGCTCTCACTGCTCTCATCACTCTCGCCCTCGCCCCACTCATGCTCATGTAGCAACGCGGCTCTATGTAAGACCAGGCGTGGGCACAAGGGGGCTGTGGTAATGGTTTAGTGTTACTGTGGAGTGGAGGCATGCGGTGTTCATGTGGTGGTGGGGGTGGAGGGGGTGGTGGTGCTTGTTCTTGCTGTATTGCCTTGCCTGTGCATGTCTCTGGATGGATTGGTTGGTTGGCGAAAGGAAGTATCGTAAATTGAACCAGCCTTGAAGTAACAGCTATGCTGTGGTATAAGAATAAGTACCAGTAATAAAACTTGTGATTCGCAACCTTGCAGTAACGGCTTGTACTGGTACCAACATTGCTTCAAGCATTCAGCAAAATGCCAGTTTGGCCTGGTCAACTAGAAAGAACACACCGTACGGTCAAGGAGATTGCCCTCAATGTGCAATCTCCATGACCAAACAAGCCAATCAATCTCTTTGACTGGATTACCCTAGAAGGCCTTCAAAGTGAACAATCGAGATTATCACGGTACATGAACCATGCCTTCCATTCCACACACTAAAGAATCTTCAAGTCAGTCCACCCAACCAAAGCCAACAATAAATATGCCAGGTCAAAGCTACAGCAACAAGAGCCTCCTTCATCACATGAACCACCTCCCCGCGGCGTATTTCGATTGGTTGTTGGTGGCCGTCTTATCCAGAAAGGGTCCGACGAACCAATGGCGTGCGTCGACAAACCACCAGACGAGGAAGAAGGAAACTACCACGAAGATTCCGACACACGCGTAGTTGAAGTTGCTTGCGGTGATGGGGAAGACCATTGGTAGCATAAAGATGCTGACTGTTTCAAGGACAAAGAGAATGGCTCCAATGTTGATCAGTTTCCTGCACTCCAATAGGCAGAGGGTGAGTGAGAGATAGAGAGAGGAGGGGAGGGGTGGAGGTGAATGAGTAGTGCCTTCTGCAAGGGTTAGAGAAGAGGAGAGAGACCATGGTTTAGGGAGGAGGGGTGAATGAGCAGCGCCGTCTGCAAGGGTTAGAGAAAAAGACAGAGATCAACTCTTATGCCCCATACACACACTCGTACCAGGCTCGCACAGACCGAGGCAGAGCATTGCAGCAAGGCAAGGCAAGTCTTGAAAGGTCTCAAGAAACCCACATGAGGTATACATACGAGTTTCGAGACATGTCAAAAGATGTTCGCACCAGGAGCAAACCGACTGAGAGAGTGAGCACTGCTGCACCAAACCAAGCCATGCCATGCCATGCTGTGCTTTCTAACTCACCTGCCCCACGCACCCTCTCCCGCCCTCACCTGCCCCACACGCCGACGTATTTAGAGAGGTAGAACGGGCCCGGTTCAAAGTCCTCCTCCCTTTGAATGAGCCGAAAGAAGATGGGGACAGCATAGCCGCCCACCCAGGCGACGGTGGCGAGGGAGGTGATGGCGGAGAAGAGGAAAGAGTCCTTGAGGAGTGGCAGGGAGAAGAGGATGGCGACGCCACAGCACAGCCACACGGAGTAGATGGGCGTCTTGTCTCGGTTCACCCGCCGCCAGATGAGCGCGAATGGCAGGCCCTTGTCTCGCGATATGGCGTAGGCCTGGGGGGATGGGGTGGGCGGGGGAGGGGTGCAGGGGGTGCAGGGCGGAGCGGAGGGGGGGAGGGGAGGAGGAGAAGGTGGGGAAAAGGAGGGAATGTGTAAAGGGGAGTAGCCAGGGGATTAGTGAGGAGGAAGAGGGCAGAGTCCTCGAGGAGGGGCAGGGAGAAGAGGATGGGTGAAAAGGATGAAGGAGCAAGCACAGGCAGGGGCGGGTGAGCAAGCACACGCAGGGGCGGGTGAGCAAAGCAAACACATGGACGGATGGGAGTGACTGACTGACCGCTCCGAGGGCTCCAAGCCAAGAAGGCCTCCTTGCTGAATTCAGATTTGAGAATTCTCAAAAGCAACTCGGGCTGTGCGTGCAAGCAGAGGGCGGAGGGAACAGTGACTGACCGCGCGGGAGGCGCCAAGAATGCCGGCGAAGACGCCAAAGAGGAAGGCGATGTAGATGAGTGAGAGCACCACCACCGCCCCTGTGCCACTGCCGAAGCTGTTGCAGGAGACAGGCACAAGAGGGGACAGCAACACACGGTAGCACGAGGGGGGGTGCATGGGAGGATGGAAGAGGAAGGCGATGTAGATGAGCGAGAGCACCACCACCGCCCCTGTGCCGCTGCCAAACCTGTGGGGGGAGGAAGAGGAGGGCAATGCAGATGCGTGAGAGCACTGCCACTGCCCAGCTGGTGGGGAACATAACCCCTGCACAGCTGTCAAAAGTGTGGTGGGAAAGGGGTTAGGGTGATAAGGGGAAAGAGAGGTGAACACGGGGGTTTGGAAGAGGAAAGCGACGTGGATGAGCGAAAGCACGACTTTTGAGGCGCCTCAAAAGACGATGAGAGTGGATGAGCAAAAGCACGACCACCACCACCCCTGTGTCGTTGCCAAGACTGTGCGGGGAGGGGGGGGAGGATGGGGTGGGCGTGGTTGAGGTGAGAATGAGGAGGATATGAGTGAATACAGGAAAGGTGGGATATGACAACACATAGGGGGAAGGGGGAAGGGGGAAGCCATATACCAAGCCAATCACTAAGCAACTCCCGAACCTCTTATGGAGGCAGTTCTTGAGACACCCACCACGCCGCGAAGGCCTCCCGTATGATGGTAGCCAGGATCTGCTGCCAGCCCGTCATGCTGTCCCTGCTGGTGAGATTGCCACCGCTCTAAACACCCAAGTACCCTTGGTGAAGCCCACGGCAGGTTGCTTGCACGCGAGCAGCAGCCGAACCACTTCCCCAGCCACTTACCGAGCCACAAAGGCCTCCCAGATGGTAGTCAGTAACCTACTGATGAGCCGATCTGATCTGCTGCCCGCCCGTAACGCTATCCGTACTGGTGGGATTCTCTTCGTCCTGAATGCTAAAAGTGAAGGCCACGAGCAGCCCCCGGGCGAGCCACTTACCGAGGCACCTACCGAGCTGCCCACCGAACCACGTACCGAGCGAAAAAGGCCTCCCAGATGATGGTAACCAGGATCTGATTGCCGGCCGTAACGCTGTCCGGGCTGGTGAGGTTGTCGTCGTTCTGAATGCAGAAGGTGAAGGCGACGAGCAGCCCCCACGCGAGCAGGCTGACCGCGGACAGGCAGAGCACCATGCTGGCTGGGGACGCGCGATCGGAGCGCTTGGTCTCCTCTGCCATGTGGGCCACTGTGTCGTATGCGTAGAGGGAGTACTGCGATAGCTGCATCGCTGCTATGAAGGCGTACGCCTGTAAGAGAAGAATAGGGTGCGGTGAAGAGAGGTGAAGAGAGGTGGGTCTCAGGTGGAGAGCGCTTGGTCTCCTCTGCCATGTGGGCCACTGTGTCGTATGCGTAGAGGGAGTACTCGGATAGCTGCATCGCTGCTATGAAGGCGTACGCCTGGGCAGGGTCCAGAGGGGAAGGGAGGGAAGGTGAGAGAGGGAATAGATGGAGTTGCATGTGGGTGGTGGCGGGTGCGTGTCTCTGCCATGCTGGCTGGCAGAGAACGTGTGGTTAGAGCTCTTGATTTCTTCTGCTATGTGGGCGGCGGTGTCGTATGCGTAGAGGGAGTACTGGGACAGCTGCATGGCTGCTATGAAGGCGTAGGCCCGGGGGGGGGATTGGAAGGGGGATGTGCAGCAATGGGTATCAAAGTGAGAGGAGGGGCACGCAGGTGAGAGGCGTTTTTGAGGCGCCTCGAAACTTGCCTGGGAGGTGGGGATGGGGGGGGAGGCAGGGATTGGCATCACAAGTCAGAGGAGGGGCACGCACTTGTGTGACACTTTGAGCAACATCAGTCCAGGGCCTGTCATGCTGGGTTTAGACGAAGAGATTCAGTGGTGCAGAGTGGTGCAAAGCGTGCGGCAATGACACATCCAGCTGCAACTTGTAGTGAGTGGAGATGAAAGCTGGCGCATAGCGCACGCACACAAGCCATAGATTGAGCGGTGCAGAATAGTGCAGAGAGGTGTAGAGTGTTGTAGGGTGGTGCAGTGGTGGCGCAGTGGCAGTGCACTGGCATTGCAGTGCGGTACTCACCACAGTGGCCAGCAAAGACACGTCCGGCTGCACGTGTTCTGGGTGAAGACCAAGGCTGGCACCTGGCGCACATAGGTCATTTATTCAACGGTGCAGAGCGGTGTACAGTGGTGCAGAGTGGTGGAGATGGGTACTCACCATAGTGGGCAGCAGAGACACGTCCAGCTGCACGTGGTGGTGAGTGAAGACGAAGGAGGCACTCTGGTGCACTGGCGCTACCGACGGCAGCAGAATCATGATGACTATGGCGAGACCCATCTAGGGACGAAGGGAGTGGTTAAGGGCAGAAGACATGGTGGGAACACGGGTAGAGGGAGGTTGGCTTGGCAGCAGCAGGGGAATGGGATGGGATGACTGGCAGTAGCGAGGGGAGCAGAATCATCTGCTCAAAGGGGAAACCCATGTGGAAGGGGAAACCCGTCTGGGGAGTAAGGGGGGGAGAGTAGCATGAGCCCGGGAGGGAAGGGGGATGGAGAATGATGGAAGAGAGGATGGGATGACTGGCGCAGCGCACAGGTGCTAGTGCTACTGCGGTGCAGCAGAATCCTGGAGACTATGGCGATTCCCATTTGGGGAGGGGGAGAGTGGTAAGTGGGAGAGGGGAGAGTGGAAGCAGGGGAATGCGGTGAGCGGCGGTATCAAGGGCAGCAGAAGAATCATGGTGTGGTGACAAAGGCGAGTCCCATCTGGGGGTGGAGCATGGGAGAGAAGTCTACCTGACCTGACCTGATAAACAGCACTGCTGATTACGGCCACACGACCGATGAACTCGATTGAGAAGGAGTTGAGGATGCCGCAGAGGAGAGCACGTGAGTAGAGGGGAGGGGAGGAAGGAGGGGAGGAGGAGTGGTGCTGCTGAGCGGCTACAGTGAAGGGGATGCTGCTAAAGTGATGGCAACCCACCTGGTAATCATCAGCGCTCATCACGGCCACACGGCCGATGAACTTAATTGAGGAGTTGAGAGGAGGAGAGGGAAGTGTGGGAGGGGGGCGAGCAGGGGAGTGCGCGCAAGTGGGAAGGGAGGCTGACCTGACAAACAGCGCTCATCACGGCCAGATGGCCGATGAACTTGATGGGGAAGGAGTTGAGTTGAGGAGTCGGAGTGTTTGTGAGCGGGCGGGCGGGCGGGAGGCATGCATAGAGCAGGGGAGGGTTTCGGGGAGCTACTTACAAAGCATTGCTGCCACAGTAGAGACAGGCAGATTACCTGATAGACGGCACTGACGACGGCAAGGCGGCCAATGAACTTGATGGAGAAGGAGTTGAGAATGCCGCAGAGGAGAATGGCGCCCACTGTGATGGCAAACGACTCGTAGTTGTTCAGCAGGTAGCCTCCCCCGTTGGGCCCTCCTGGTGATGGGAAGGAGGGAGGAGGGAGAGAGGAGAGGAGGGTAGCCAAGGGAGCAGGGAGGGGGAGGAAGAGGAATGAGTGAAGAAGAATGAGGGTGTTTGGTGCACAGGCGCTACTGCAGGCAGCAGAATCATGATTGGCTGACACGAAAAAATGATGGGAATTGTGATAGGCAGGAAACACGAGTGGAAAGGAATAAAGAGAGGTGAAGAGGTGAGTTGCAAGCAAGAAGTTTAGAAATATTTTCCAATGTAAAAGATACATGAAAGAGTAGTGGAGGAAAAACCCCCCCATGGCCCCCCCAAGGCCCCCCTAAGGCCCCCCTACCCCCCAACTCTCCTCACAGCCCCTCACACAGCACCCCACCCCACCCCTTGCATCGCCCCTCACAAAGCCCCCCTCACACAGCCCCCCTCACTCAGCCCCCCTCACACAGCCTCCCTCACACAGCCTGGCCGGGCCGGAACTTACATGCATGCCCTGGTTTCTTTCTGTCTGTCCCTGTCCCTGCTTGCTTCTGTCTCTCTCTAATCATTGACTCCCATTTTGGTTTCTGCTTGTCCCTGTCCCTACTTCTGTCCCTATTTGTCTTCCATTATCGCTCTGTCCCTGTCCTTGCTTGTGTCCCTGTCTCTGTTTCTCTTCCTGTTTTGGTTTCACATCCCGAGCCTCCGCTCGAGGTCTGGCCTGACCTCCCCGGGTCGCCCCGGACCTCTCCAGGCCTGGCTAGGGCACGGCCACACCGGCTCATATAGCATGCCAAACACGCACGAGTACCTACCTAAGTTTGGAATCCATTTGTCAATCCTAGAGTATGTATTTACTATCCTACTTGTTCATTGTGTCTTCACAGCAGAGAGCGTCAAGATGGCGCCCCGCAAGGGAGAACCCCACCTGCCCAAGGTGGGGTGGGGTGGGGTGGGGAGGAGGGACGGATGGGGGGATGGCGGGTGTGAGGGGATGGCGTGTGGCGGGTTCTGAAGCTTGGCAGATGTGGCGAGTGGTGGGGAGGAGAGGAGGTGAACACAGGGGAGGAGAGTTGAGCAGAGGGGAGGAGAGAAGGTGAACGAAGGGAGGAGAGGAGGTGAACGAAGGGGAGGAGAGGAGGTGAATGGAGGGGAGGAGAGGAGGTGAACGGAGGGGAGGAGAGGAGGTGAACGGAGGGGAGGAGAGGAGGTGAACGGAGAGGAGGAGAGGGTTTAGCATAGGAACTGGCGGGATGCCACGTGTGGTGCGGCCGAGCCGAGCCTCTCACCTGGCTGTGACGAGCCTCTCACCTGGCTGTGACGAGCCTCTCACCTGGCTGTGACGAGCCTCTCACCTGGCTGTGACGAGCCTCTCACCTGGCTATGACGAGCCTCTCACCTGGCTGTGATGAGCCTCTCACCTGGCTGTGACGAGCCTCTCACCTGGCTGTGACGAGCCTCTCAACTGGCTGTGACGAGCCTCTTATCTGGCTGTGACGAGCCTCTCACCACGCTGTGCTGTGACGAGCCTCTCACCACGCTGTGCCGACCCTCGCCTGGCTGTGCCGACCCTACTGTTTTCATGTCAATAAGTTGTATCATTCCACACATCGCAAGGGAATATCATCATGGCGACCGCATGAGAAAATGGCACCTGCGCAAGGGGAGAGGGACAGTTCGAGTAGGGGGCAGATCAAGCGAGCGGGGGGAGCAGAGCAAGCGAGCAGGATGAGATGAGGACGTGTTAGAGAAAAAGCGGAAAGATGAGGCCTGAGTGCATGGGAAAAGGATTGGAGAATGGGTGTGTATCGCCAGGAAAGCGCGGAAAGTGGGAGCAGAGACGAAAGTGGAAAGCAATTTGAGTAGCACGAGCAGTGCAGTGCAGGCAATCATGGCACATGATCGGAAGCGTCAAAAGGCTCACCTACGTGCAGAACAAAACAAGTGATATCGGTAGGTAGGTATGGCTGTGCCGACCCTACTATTTTCATGTCAATAAGTTGTATCATTCCACACATCGCAAGGGAATATCATCATGGCGACCGCATGAGAAAATGGCACCTGCGCAAGGGGAGAGGGACAGTTCGAGTAGGGGGGAGATCAAGCAAGCGGGGGGAGCAGAGCAAGCAAGCAGGATGAGATGAGGACGTGTTAGAGAAAAAGCGGAAAGATGAGGCCTGAGTGCATGGGAAAAGGATTGGAGAATGGGTGTGTATCGCCAGGAAAGCGCGGAAAGTGGGAGCAGAGACGAAAGTGGAAAGCAATTTGAGTAGCACGAGCAGTGCAGTGCAGGCAATCCTGGCACATGATCGGAAGCGTCAAAAGGCTCACCTGCGTGCAGAACAAGACAAGTGATATCGGTAGGTAGGTAGAAGCCGGGTGTCCGCGCCGCGAGTATGCATCATCGCATGCGGCATGGCATGGCATCGCGTGGCATGGAAGTCGCATCGCATGGCATGGCAGCACTTTTTGAGTCGAAGGTGTCGCCAGCTTCGTCGTCAACGAGAGCCATGTGGTTACCAGCCTCCTGAACAATCCATCACGTATACACACAGCACAGAACGAAACAGCATGAGTCAATATAGTACCATTCATAACCACTGAAGCTATATGCTAGCTTCAAGAGATGCACGCTGGAAGCTTGAAGCTCTCGCAGCGGGTCAGCCAATCGTCACGCACCTGGAAACTACTAACGCACGGTGATTCTAATCCAACGCACATGGAAAACCTCGTTCCAGGCGCGCCTGCCGCGCTGCAGCTCGTGCGCCTGCCACGCGGTTACTCGCGCGCCTGCCACGCGGTTACTCGCGCGCCTGCCACGCGGTTAATCGTGCGCGCCTCCCGCGCTGTTACTCGCGCGTCTGCCGCGCTGTGACTCGCGCGGCGCCATTAGTGCTGATGCGCGCACGCCCTCCGCGTGCCGCGCTGATGCTGGGTGGGAGAGGAGGTGCGGGGTAGGGTGAGTGGTGCAAGCTAGGAGAAGTGAATTACAGGGCGCGGGTACAGAGAGGTATAGGCGCAAAGGTGAGAAACCGATGTGAGGTAGGGCACAGAGAGGTATTTTGGCGCAAGGCAATAGTACCTGGTTCGATTCGTCGGTGCAAGGATCAGTTTCTAACAGCTGGAGTCGCTACAGTAGTAATGTGAATATCTCGTTATGTGCTGAAGTTGAATATCCCGTCAAGGTGACCTTGAGAGACGCATATCAGGACACTCTGGAGCTAAGGGGTGGGGAAAAGGAGCGGATGTGGGCGAGTCGACAAGGCAAGAAAGCAGGTTGAGACCTGAAATGGCAGAAAAGCCTTCACACAAGTCAATACAGCAGTGCGAGATGGGAAATCTAGACGAAATGTAGGGTTTTTGTTAAACAAGCAGCTGTTAGGTCAGAAACGTCGCTTTTGACGCTGCTCGGTGATCAGATAAACGAGATCGGATGAACTTGAACCAGTCAGTCAGGCATAATCTAGAAAGTGAATGTAGGAAAGGGCAGCGCGTACCTGCGGATATAAGCAGCGCAGATCGTAGCGTTTAACTTTAGGCGTTACGCGTGATCATTCGCGTGCGCTGGTTGACTATTTTGTTGCCGTTTTGTTCGGTGCGAGCGTGGAAAGGGCTATGAGAGAGCAGACGCGAATGATACTCCATTCTATCCTTTTGGTCCTAGCAACGTCGACCGAACTAGGAACAACCGTCTGACGGTGTTGGTGGCGGAATTGATACGAGAGCGCAGTACAGAGGCGGGATGCGGTGAGGATGCGGGAAAACCGAAAGCAACAGTATGTGCGACGGAACAAGTGACTAGCGTGCGACGCAACAGGCGATTCGCATGTGACACTAGCCGTCGCCGCAACAGATGCCTAGCACGCGTCTCGACCAAAGACTTGGCTAGGTAGTAGGAAAGGGCTAGGATGCGGTGAGGACGCGGGAAAACCGAAAGAAACAAGTATACGCGACGGAACAAGTGACTAGTGCGCGACGCAACAGGCGATTCGCATGTGACACTAGCCGTCGCCGCAACAGATGCCTAGCAAGCGTCTCGACCGAAGACTTGGCTAGTAAGTTGGAAAGATAAGCAACTTCCGTTATTGGGAACGCATCGCTAGCGGCGTCACTAGAGTGGGGAACGGCCACTTTCAGAGGTATGAAAGGCGACGAATATCGAGAGAGAGTAGAGAGTGGGTGCTGGAGCAGATGGGGATGAAATGCAACCCCACCCCACCCACCCACAACATGTTCTGAAACATGTCGGTCAAAAAGAAATATAACTAAGCAGCACAGCCTCTCGCCCTAATCAGAAGCGGAAATTTGTGACCAATGCGCTTGTATGACTGGGAAACAATCCCAAAGTAGCTCTAGAGGGAAGGGATGGGGGAAAAAAAAAAAAAAAAAACGAAACACAAAAAAGAGGGGGGGTGGAAAACAGAGTCTTCATCCGGAGTGTGATTGGAAACACTATCGAGGGGGATGTCAAGCGGTTCCGATTTGCAAGGGGTGTCGACGCGATTCCAATTTGCAAGGGGTGTCAAAGCGGTTCCAATTTGCAGGGGGTGTCAACAAGGTACTGATTTGCAGCGTGGTCTCGTCAATAGCAAATTTGGATCCTCTACTTATATGCATGCCAACCAACTAACACTTATAACAAAATGTAAATAGAAAATAGAAACAGCATCAGTAATAGCCAAATGTAGTAGCATGAGCAGTAGCAAATAACAGCAACACCAGCAGTAGCACCACATTACAACTGTAATACTAGTACTACAGCTAGAGCTACAGCTGCGATAGTAGTACCACATTAAAACTGTAATACTAGTACTACAGCTATATCTACACCAACACCAACACCAACACTAACAACAACACCAACACCAACACCAACACCAACACCTACACCAACACCAACACCAACACCAACACCAAGGGAAGGAGAAGGGGAAGGAGAAGGGGAAGGAGCAGGGGAAGAAGAAGGGGAAGGAGAAGGGGAAGGAGATTGGGAAGGAGAGGGCGAAGGAGAAGGGGAAGGAGAAGGGGAAGGAGAAGGGGAAAGAGGAGGGGAAGGAGAAGGGGAAGGAGAATGGGAATGAGAAGGCGAAAGAGAAGGCGAAGGAGAAGGGGAAGGAGAAGGAAGGGGAACAGGAAGAGGAAGGAGAGGGGAAGGCGAAGGGGAAGGAGAAGGGGAAGGAGAATGGGAATGAGAAGGCGAAAGAGAAGGCGAAGGAGAAGGGGAAGGAGAAGGGGAAGGAGAAGGGGAAGGAGAAGGAAGGGGAACAGGAAGAGGAAGGAGAGGGGAAGGCGAAGGGGAAGGAGAAGGCGAAGGAGAAGGCAAAGGTGTAGGAGAAGGCGAAGGAGAAGGCGAAGGAGAAGGCGAAGGCGAAGGCGAAGAAGAAGGCGAAGGAGAAGGCGAAAGAGAAGGCAAAGGAGAAGGCGAAGGAGAAGGAGAAGGCAAAGGAGAAGGGTAAGGAGAAGGGGAAGAAGAAGGGGAAGGAGAGGCAAGGGGAGCAGGAAGAGGAAGGAGAAGAGGAAGGCGAAGGGGAAGGTGAAGGCGAAGGAGAAGGCAAAGGAGAAGGCGAAGGCGAAGGAGAAGTTGAAGGAGAAGAAGGCGAAGGAGAAGGGGAAGGAGAAGGGGAATGCCAAGGCGAAGGAGAAGGCGAAAGAGAAGGCGAAGGAGAAAGGGAAGGGGAAGGGGAAAGGAAAGGAGAAGGCGTAGGAGGAGGCGAAGGAGAAGGCCAAGGAGAACGGGAAGAAGAAGGCAAAGGGGAAGGCGAAGGAGAAGGCGAAAGAGAAGGGGATGGAGAAGGGGAAGGAGAAGGGGAAGGAGAAAACATGGAAATTGAAAAGCAAACGGTAACCAAACTACAAAGGGAAGGAGAAGGGTAAAGAGAATGGAAAACAGAAGGCGAAGATGAAGGCGAAGGAGTAGGAGAAGGAGAAGGAGAAGGCGAACCAGAAGGCGAAGGAGAAGGGGAAGAAGATGGACAAGGAGAGGGAGAAGGAGGAGGAGAAGGAGAAGGAGAATGAGAAGAAGGAAAAGGAGAGGGAGAAGGAGAAGGAGAAGGTGAAGGTGTATTCGAAGGAAAAGGCAAAGGAGAAGAGGAAAGAGAAGGAAAATAGAAGGATAAGGAGAAGGAGAAGGAGAAGGAGAAGCGGACAAAGACAAGCAGAAACAAGAAAGAGAGAGAGAGAAAGAGGGAGAGAGAGAGAGAGAGAGAGAGAGAGAGAGAGAGAGAGAGAGACAGAGAGAGAGAGAGAGAGAGAGAGAGAGAGAGAGAGAGAGAGAGAGAGAGAGAGAGACTAGGGGTGGGGGGTGTTGGGGAGGGACTAGGGGTGTGTGTTCTGAAGGTTTTGTATTGTCGTTGCTCGACCCCGTTTGCTAGTCTTCATGCTAGACATGCTCTGGCCTAGAATATGCATGTTTGTACCAAACCACACTTATCAATACAAAGGACCGTTAGAGAAATAGAGAGAGAGAGAGAGAGAGAGAGAGAGAGAGAGAGAGAGAGAGAGAGAGGGAGAGAGAGAGAGAGAGAGAGAGAGAGAGAGAGAGAGAGAGAGAGAGACTAGGGGTGGGGGGGGGTTGGGGAGGGACTAGGGGTGTGTGTTCTGAAGGTTTTGTATTGTCGTTGCTCGACCCCGTTTGCTAGTCTTCATGCTAGACATGCTCTGGCCTAGAATATGCATGTTTGTACCAAACCACACTTATCAATACAAAGGACCGTTAGAGAAATAGAGAGAGAGAGAGAGAGAGAGAGAGAGAGAGAGAGAGAGAGAGAGGGAGAGAGAGAGAGAGAGAGAGAGAGAGAGAGAGAGAGAGAGAGAGAGAGAGAGAGAGAGAGACTAGGGGTGGGGGGGGGTTGGGGAGGGACTAGGGGTGTGTGTTCTGAAGGTTTTGTATTGTCGTTGCTCGACCCCGTTTGCTAGTCTTCATGCTAGACATGCTCTGGCCTAGAATATGCATGTTTGTACCGAACCACACTTATCAATACAAAGGACCGTTAGAGAAATCGAGAGAGAGAGAGAGAGAGAGAGAGAGAGAGAGAGAGAGAGAGAGAGAGAGAGAGAGAGGGAGGGAGGAGGAGGAGGAGGAGGAGGAGGAGGAGGAGGAGGAGGAGGAGGAGGAGGAGGAGGGGAAATAGAGGGAGAAGAAGAAGTTGAGGGAGACGGCATCCCCTTTTTCTTTACACACCCCCAGGCATTGGCGCCGCCCCGTCTTGCGCCTCCGTGGCGTTGCAGTGGCGCGATGGCGCAGGGCAGGCAGGTGCGGCACGGCACGGCACGATGCTGGGCAGGCAGGCACGGCATGGCATGGCACGGCACGGCACGGCACACAGCACAGCATGCGGACAGCAAGATGCGGATTGCGGATGTCCAGCACGCGCGGCATACGGGATGGCGATGGTGGCGGCGGAGGGCGCCCCGGCATCATGCCGAGTGCGCATCAGATGCCATCGCGCAGCGGCATGTGCCGTCACGGCCTGCAAGCAACCGTTGAGATGACGCGGCTGCGTGGAAGTGGGTAGACGCGCAGATGAGTGGAGCGACTCGGAATTACAAAAACGTCAGCAGGTAACAGCAGCGGCGACAAACAGCAGCGGCGACAACAGGTGCAGCAATCAGCACTCATAACAAGAGTAGAGAAGAACCAGCAGCATGAGTGGCAACAAGCAGCAGCAGAAGAGGGTGATGCTGATGAGGAAGGAAGGAGGGGGGCTGGGGCGAGGAGGACAAGAGCAGCAGAAGCAACAACAACAGGTGTGTGGTGCTTCTCTTTCAAACCTAAGAACCGAGAAGAAACGAGGAGAGCATGGTCGTGAGATGATTGTGTGAGCTGAATGCACACTGGCTGTGCTCCGTGCGTAGGCATGGGCGTGGGATTGTGTGTGCGCATGTGCATACGCCTGCCAAGGTCGCTGCAACATGTTCTCATCCCACTGCTATCATTGCTGCCCCCATGCCTCCCACCCCGCCCCAAATCTCCCTGCCTGCCCCAATCTCCTGCCTGCCCCAAATCTCCCTGCCTGTCCAGAATCTCCCTGCCCCAATCTCCCTGACCGTCCCACACCTCCCTGCTCGTCCCACCCATACATCCCTGCCTTCCCCATACCTCTCCCTGCCTGCCCCATACCTCTCCCTGCCTGCCCCATACCTCTCCCTGCCTGCCCCATACCTCTCCCTGCCTGCCCCATACCTCTCCCTGCCTGCCCCATACCTCTCCCTGCCTGCCCCATACCTCTCCCTGCCTGCCCCATACCTCTCCCTGCCTGCCCCATACCTCTCCCTGCCTGCCCCATACCTCTCCCTGCCTGCTCCATACCTCTCCCTGCCTGCCCCATACCTCTCCCTGCCTGCCCCATACCTCTCCCTGCCTGCCCCATACCTCTCGCTGCCTGCCCCATACCTCTCGCTGCCTGCCCCATACCTCTCCCTGCCTGCCCCATACCTCTCCCTGCCTGCCCCATACCTCTCCCTGCCTGCCCCATACCTCTCCCTGCCTGCCCCATACCTCTCCTTGCCTGCCCCATACCTCTCCCTGCCTGCCCCATACCTCTCCCTGCCTGCCCCATACCTCTCCCTGCCTGCCCCATACCTCTCCCTGCCTGCTCCATACCTCTCCCTGCCTGCCCCATACCTCTCCCTGCCTGCCCCATACCTCTCCCTGCCTGCCCCATACCTCTCGCTGCCTGCCCCATACCTCTCGCTGCCTGCCCCATACCTCTCCCTGCCTGCCCCATACCTCTCCCTGCCTGCCCCATACCTCTCCCTGCCTGCCCCATACCTCTCCCTGCCTGCCCCATACCTCTCCCTGCCTGCCCCATACCTCTCCCTGCCTGCCCCATACTTCCAAGTGGTTGCTTAGCCGCTCTGCTGGTTGTGTGTGCTCTGCTGCATTCCCCCATTGCCCCCTCGTGATTTGCTGTTTTGGTCTCCTGTGCCAGCCCGTTCAACTGCCTCCTTTCCTTTCCTGGCCTCTCTTACCTCCTCTTGACCAGGGGTAATGTCCCCTCCCTAGTGCAGCTCCCAGGCATACCAACAATCACTGCTCCACCCATCCGCCTCCGTCTCCTCCTCCTCCTCCTCCTCCTCCTCCTCCTCCTCCTCCTCCTCCTCCTCCTCCTCCTCCTCCTCCTCCTCCTCCACCTCCTTCTTCTTCTTCTCCTCCTCCTCCTCCTCCTCTTCGCCTCCACCCGTCGGACCCCATGCCATTGCCACGCATCATGTCAAGCCACACTCCTCCGCTCGCTCGCATGCTGCTGCCACCGCTGTGGCGGCACCATCGCTGGCAGCGGCAGTGCCGTGCCGCAGGCCGCTCCGCCCGTGCGTGGCGCCAGCGTCGCGCTGAACCTGCCCACCCGCAGCCTGTCGCTCGGAGGCGGCAAGTACACGCTGGCTTTAAGTGGCGATCTTGCGAGGTTTACGAGCAATGGCAGCGAGTGCCAAGAAGGGGTTCCGCATGGGGGCAACGACGGTGCTGCTGAGCGGAGAGATTGTGGATGATGCGGGGGCGAAGATCACGCCCACGGGTCCTGATGTGGACGGGGCGTACACTGCATGGGACCTGAGAGGGTGGCCCAACGGGACCGTTGTTGGCAGCAATGGTGTGGTGCTGTATGCTGGAGCGCTGCTCACTCTTACGTCTGAGGGCACCATTGCTCTTGCTACTCCTTCCATTCCCACTGCTGCTGCCGCTGCTACCCCTGCTGCTGCTACCCCTGCTGCTGCCACCCCTGCTGCTACCACTCCTGCTGCTGCCACCCCTGCCGCTGCTACTCCTCCTGCTGGTGCCTCTGCCCCACCCCCTCCCAAGGCTGCTGGTGAGTGTGTCTCCTACACTTCTCGTAAGCTTCTCCTATGCTTCTCCTATGCTTCTCCTATGCTTCTCCTATGCTTCTCCTATGCTTCTCCTATGCTTCTCCTATGCTTCTCCTATGCTTCTCCTATACTTATCCTATGCTTCTCCCATTCCTCTCCCGTGCACCTTCTCCCTTTCTGATGTGGTAGGCAAAGTTTTCGTTTCTCTCGAATGCTTCCTGTTTGCCTTCCTGTTTGCCCTCCTGTTTGGTACATCGCTTTGTGATTCCGCTGCACATTTCCACATTCCTCGATTCCCAAATCTCAAGTGGGCTGTTCCGACCTGATTCTGTTTCCCCAGTTGTTCCTCCTCGCAATGGCAGGTTCACTTGCTTCACCGGCCGCTGCTCTCACTGCTCTCATCACTCTCGCCCTCGCCCCACTCATGCTCATGTAGCAACGCGGCTCTATGTAAGACCAGGCGTGGGCACAAGGGGGCTGTGGTAATGGTTTAGTGTTACTGTGGAGTGGAGGCATGCGGTGTTCATGTGGTGGTGGGGGTGGAGGGGGTGGTGGTGCTTGTTCTTGCTGTATTGCCTTGCCTGTGCATGTCTCTGGATGGATTGGTTGGTTGGCGAAAGGAAGTATCGTAAATTGAACCAGCCTTGAAGTAACAGCTATGCTGTGGTATAAGAATAAGTACCAGTAATAAAACTTGTGATTCGCAACCTTGCAGTAACGGCTTGTACTGGTACCAACATTGCTTCAAGCATTCAGCAAAATGCCAGTTTGGCCTGGTCAACTAGAAAGAACACACCGTACGGTCAAGGAGATTGCCCTCAATGTGCAATCTCCATGACCAAACAAGCCAATCAATCTCTTTGACTGGATTACCCTAGAAGGCCTTCAAAGTGAACAATCGAGATTATCACGGTACATGAACCATGCCTTCCATTCCACACACTAAAGAATCTTCAAGTCAGTCCACCCAACCAAAGCCAACAATAAATATGCCAGGTCAAAGCTACAGCAACAAGAGCCTCCTTCATCACATGAACCACCTCCCCGCGGCGTATTTCGATTGGTTGTTGGTGGCCGTCTTATCCAGAAAGGGTCCGACGAACCAATGGCGTGCGTCGACAAACCACCAGACGAGGAAGAAGGAAACTACCACGAAGATTCCGACACACGCGTAGTTGAAGTTGCTTGCGGTGATGGGGAAGACCATTGGTAGCATAAAGATGCTGACTGTTTCAAGGACAAAGAGAATGGCTCCAATGTTGATCAGTTTCCTGCACTCCAATAGGCAGAGGGTGAGTGAGAGATAGAGAGAGGAGGGGAGGGGTGGAGGTGAATGAGTAGTGCCTTCTGCAAGGGTTAGAGAAGAGGAGAGAGACCATGGTTTAGGGAGGAGGGGTGAATGAGCAGCGCCGTCTGCAAGGGTTAGAGAAAAAGACAGAGATCAACTCTTATGCCCCATACACACACTCGTACCAGGCTCGCACAGACCGAGGCAGAGCATTGCAGCAAGGCAAGGCAAGTCTTGAAAGGTCTCAAGAAACCCACATGAGGTATACATACGAGTTTCGAGACATGTCAAAAGATGTTCGCACCAGGAGCAAACCGACTGAGAGAGTGAGCACTGCTGCACCAAACCAAGCCATGCCATGCCATGCTGTGCTTTCTAACTCACCTGCCCCACGCACCCTCTCCCGCCCTCACCTGCCCCACACGCCGACGTATTTAGAGAGGTAGAACGGGCCCGGTTCAAAGTCCTCCTCCCTTTGAATGAGCCGAAAGAAGATGGGGACAGCATAGCCGCCCACCCAGGCGACGGTGGCGAGGGAGGTGATGGCGGAGAAGAGGAAAGAGTCCTTGAGGAGTGGCAGGGAGAAGAGGATGGCGACGCCACAGCACAGCCACACGGAGTAGATGGGCGTCTTGTCTCGGTTCACCCGCCGCCAGATGAGCGCGAATGGCAGGCCCTTGTCTCGCGATATGGCGTAGGCCTGGGGGGATGGGGTGGGCGGGGGAGGGGTGCAGGGGGTGCAGGGCGGAGCGGAGGGGGGGAGGGGAGGAGGAGAAGGTGGGGAAAAGGAGGGAATGTGTAAAGGGGAGTAGCCAGGGGATTAGTGAGGAGGAAGAGGGCAGAGTCCTCGAGGAGGGGCAGGGAGAAGAGGATGGGTGAAAAGGATGAAGGAGCAAGCACAGGCAGGGGCGGGTGAGCAAGCACACGCAGGGGCGGGTGAGCAAAGCAAACACATGGACGGATGGGAGTGACTGACTGACCGCTCCGAGGGCTCCAAGCCAAGAAGGCCTCCTTGCTGAATTCAGATTTGAGAATTCTCAAAAGCAACTCGGGCTGTGCGTGCAAGCAGAGGGCGGAGGGAACAGTGACTGACCGCGCGGGAGGCGCCAAGAATGCCGGCGAAGACGCCAAAGAGGAAGGCGATGTAGATGAGTGAGAGCACCACCACCGCCCCTGTGCCACTGCCGAAGCTGTTGCAGGAGACAGGCACAAGAGGGGACAGCAACACACGGTAGCACGAGGGGGGGTGCATGGGAGGATGGAAGAGGAAGGCGATGTAGATGAGCGAGAGCACCACCACCGCCCCTGTGCCGCTGCCAAACCTGTGGGGGGAGGAAGAGGAGGGCAATGCAGATGCGTGAGAGCACTGCCACTGCCCAGCTGGTGGGGAACATAACCCCTGCACAGCTGTCAAAAGTGTGGTGGGAAAGGGGTTAGGGTGATAAGGGGAAAGAGAGGTGAACACGGGGGTTTGGAAGAGGAAAGCGACGTGGATGAGCGAAAGCACGACTTTTGAGGCGCCTCAAAAGACGATGAGAGTGGATGAGCAAAAGCACGACCACCACCACCCCTGTGTCGTTGCCAAGACTGTGCGGGGAGGGGGGGGAGGATGGGGTGGGCGTGGTTGAGGTGAGAATGAGGAGGATATGAGTGAATACAGGAAAGGTGGGATATGACAACACATAGGGGGAAGGGGGAAGGGGGAAGCCATATACCAAGCCAATCACTAAGCAACTCCCGAACCTCTTATGGAGGCAGTTCTTGAGACACCCACCACGCCGCGAAGGCCTCCCGTATGATGGTAGCCAGGATCTGCTGCCAGCCCGTCATGCTGTCCCTGCTGGTGAGATTGCCACCGCTCTAAACACCCAAGTACCCTTGGTGAAGCCCACGGCAGGTTGCTTGCACGCGAGCAGCAGCCGAACCACTTCCCCAGCCACTTACCGAGCCACAAAGGCCTCCCAGATGGTAGTCAGTAACCTACTGATGAGCCGATCTGATCTGCTGCCCGCCCGTAACGCTATCCGTACTGGTGGGATTCTCTTCGTCCTGAATGCTAAAAGTGAAGGCCACGAGCAGCCCCCGGGCGAGCCACTTACCGAGGCACCTACCGAGCTGCCCACCGAACCACGTACCGAGCGAAAAAGGCCTCCCAGATGATGGTAACCAGGATCTGATTGCCGGCCGTAACGCTGTCCGGGCTGGTGAGGTTGTCGTCGTTCTGAATGCAGAAGGTGAAGGCGACGAGCAGCCCCCACGCGAGCAGGCTGACCGCGGACAGGCAGAGCACCATGCTGGCTGGGGACGCGCGATCGGAGCGCTTGGTCTCCTCTGCCATGTGGGCCACTGTGTCGTATGCGTAGAGGGAGTACTGCGATAGCTGCATCGCTGCTATGAAGGCGTACGCCTGTAAGAGAAGAATAGGGTGCGGTGAAGAGAGGTGAAGAGAGGTGGGTCTCAGGTGGAGAGCGCTTGGTCTCCTCTGCCATGTGGGCCACTGTGTCGTATGCGTAGAGGGAGTACTCGGATAGCTGCATCGCTGCTATGAAGGCGTACGCCTGGGCAGGGTCCAGAGGGGAAGGGAGGGAAGGTGAGAGAGGGAATAGATGGAGTTGCATGTGGGTGGTGGCGGGTGCGTGTCTCTGCCATGCTGGCTGGCAGAGAACGTGTGGTTAGAGCTCTTGATTTCTTCTGCTATGTGGGCGGCGGTGTCGTATGCGTAGAGGGAGTACTGGGACAGCTGCATGGCTGCTATGAAGGCGTAGGCCCGGGGGGGGGATTGGAAGGGGGATGTGCAGCAATGGGTATCAAAGTGAGAGGAGGGGCACGCAGGTGAGAGGCGTTTTTGAGGCGCCTCGAAACTTGCCTGGGAGGTGGGGATGGGGGGGGAGGCAGGGATTGGCATCACAAGTCAGAGGAGGGGCACGCACTTGTGTGACACTTTGAGCAACATCAGTCCAGGGCCTGTCATGCTGGGTTTAGACGAAGAGATTCAGTGGTGCAGAGTGGTGCAAAGCGTGCGGCAATGACACATCCAGCTGCAACTTGTAGTGAGTGGAGATGAAAGCTGGCGCATAGCGCACGCACACAAGCCATAGATTGAGCGGTGCAGAATAGTGCAGAGAGGTGTAGAGTGTTGTAGGGTGGTGCAGTGGTGGCGCAGTGGCAGTGCACTGGCATTGCAGTGCGGTACTCACCACAGTGGCCAGCAAAGACACGTCCGGCTGCACGTGTTCTGGGTGAAGACCAAGGCTGGCACCTGGCGCACATAGGTCATTTATTCAACGGTGCAGAGCGGTGTACAGTGGTGCAGAGTGGTGGAGATGGGTACTCACCATAGTGGGCAGCAGAGACACGTCCAGCTGCACGTGGTGGTGAGTGAAGACGAAGGAGGCACTCTGGTGCACTGGCGCTACCGACGGCAGCAGAATCATGATGACTATGGCGAGACCCATCTAGGGACGAAGGGAGTGGTTAAGGGCAGAAGACATGGTGGGAACACGGGTAGAGGGAGGTTGGCTTGGCAGCAGCAGGGGAATGGGATGGGATGACTGGCAGTAGCGAGGGGAGCAGAATCATCTGCTCAAAGGGGAAACCCATGTGGAAGGGGAAACCCGTCTGGGGAGTAAGGGGGGGAGAGTAGCATGAGCCCGGGAGGGAAGGGGGATGGAGAATGATGGAAGAGAGGATGGGATGACTGGCGCAGCGCACAGGTGCTAGTGCTACTGCGGTGCAGCAGAATCCTGGAGACTATGGCGATTCCCATTTGGGGAGGGGGAGAGTGGTAAGTGGGAGAGGGGAGAGTGGAAGCAGGGGAATGCGGTGAGCGGCGGTATCAAGGGCAGCAGAAGAATCATGGTGTGGTGACAAAGGCGAGTCCCATCTGGGGGTGGAGCATGGGAGAGAAGTCTACCTGACCTGACCTGATAAACAGCACTGCTGATTACGGCCACACGACCGATGAACTCGATTGAGAAGGAGTTGAGGATGCCGCAGAGGAGAGCACGTGAGTAGAGGGGAGGGGAGGAAGGAGGGGAGGAGGAGTGGTGCTGCTGAGCGGCTACAGTGAAGGGGATGCTGCTAAAGTGATGGCAACCCACCTGGTAATCATCAGCGCTCATCACGGCCACACGGCCGATGAACTTAATTGAGGAGTTGAGAGGAGGAGAGGGAAGTGTGGGAGGGGGGCGAGCAGGGGAGTGCGCGCAAGTGGGAAGGGAGGCTGACCTGACAAACAGCGCTCATCACGGCCAGATGGCCGATGAACTTGATGGGGAAGGAGTTGAGTTGAGGAGTCGGAGTGTTTGTGAGCGGGCGGGCGGGCGGGAGGCATGCATAGAGCAGGGGAGGGTTTCGGGGAGCTACTTACAAAGCATTGCTGCCACAGTAGAGACAGGCAGATTACCTGATAGACGGCACTGACGACGGCAAGGCGGCCAATGAACTTGATGGAGAAGGAGTTGAGAATGCCGCAGAGGAGAATGGCGCCCACTGTGATGGCAAACGACTCGTAGTTGTTCAGCAGGTAGCCTCCCCCGTTGGGCCCTCCTGGTGATGGGAAGGAGGGAGGAGGGAGAGAGGAGAGGAGGGTAGCCAAGGGAGCAGGGAGGGGGAGGAAGAGGAATGAGTGAAGAAGAATGAGGGTGTTTGGTGCACAGGCGCTACTGCAGGCAGCAGAATCATGATTGGCTGACACGAAAAAATGATGGGAATTGTGATAGGCAGGAAACACGAGTGGAAAGGAATAAAGAGAGGTGAAGAGGTGAGTTGCAAGCAAGAAGTTTAGAAATATTTTCCAATGTAAAAGATACATGAAAGAGTAGTGGAGGAAAAACCCCCCCATGGCCCCCCCAAGGCCCCCCTAAGGCCCCCCTACCCCCCAACTCTCCTCACAGCCCCTCACACAGCACCCCACCCCACCCCTTGCATCGCCCCTCACAAAGCCCCCCTCACACAGCCCCCCTCACTCAGCCCCCCTCACACAGCCTCCCTCACACAGCCTGGCCGGGCCGGAACTTACATGCATGCCCTGGTTTCTTTCTGTCTGTCCCTGTCCCTGCTTGCTTCTGTCTCTCTCTAATCATTGACTCCCATTTTGGTTTCTGCTTGTCCCTGTCCCTACTTCTGTCCCTATTTGTCTTCCATTATCGCTCTGTCCCTGTCCTTGCTTGTGTCCCTGTCTCTGTTTCTCTTCCTGTTTTGGTTTCACATCCCGAGCCTCCGCTCGAGGTCTGGCCTGACCTCCCCGGGTCGCCCCGGACCTCTCCAGGCCTGGCTAGGGCACGGCCACACCGGCTCATATAGCATGCCAAACACGCACGAGTACCTACCTAAGTTTGGAATCCATTTGTCAATCCTAGAGTATGTATTTACTATCCTACTTGTTCATTGTGTCTTCACAGCAGAGAGCGTCAAGATGGCGCCCCGCAAGGGAGAACCCCACCTGCCCAAGGTGGGGTGGGGTGGGGTGGGGAGGAGGGACGGATGGGGGGATGGCGGGTGTGAGGGGATGGCGTGTGGCGGGTTCTGAAGCTTGGCAGATGTGGCGAGTGGTGGGGAGGAGAGGAGGTGAACACAGGGGAGGAGAGTTGAGCAGAGGGGAGGAGAGAAGGTGAACGAAGGGAGGAGAGGAGGTGAACGAAGGGGAGGAGAGGAGGTGAATGGAGGGGAGGAGAGGAGGTGAACGGAGGGGAGGAGAGGAGGTGAACGGAGGGGAGGAGAGGAGGTGAACGGAGAGGAGGAGAGGGTTTAGCATAGGAACTGGCGGGATGCCACGTGTGGTGCGGCCGAGCCGAGCCTCTCACCTGGCTGTGACGAGCCTCTCACCTGGCTGTGACGAGCCTCTCACCTGGCTGTGACGAGCCTCTCACCTGGCTGTGACGAGCCTCTCACCTGGCTATGACGAGCCTCTCACCTGGCTGTGATGAGCCTCTCACCTGGCTGTGACGAGCCTCTCACCTGGCTGTGACGAGCCTCTCAACTGGCTGTGACGAGCCTCTTATCTGGCTGTGACGAGCCTCTCACCACGCTGTGCTGTGACGAGCCTCTCACCACGCTGTGCCGACCCTCGCCTGGCTGTGCCGACCCTACTGTTTTCATGTCAATAAGTTGTATCATTCCACACATCGCAAGGGAATATCATCATGGCGACCGCATGAGAAAATGGCACCTGCGCAAGGGGAGAGGGACAGTTCGAGTAGGGGGCAGATCAAGCGAGCGGGGGGAGCAGAGCAAGCGAGCAGGATGAGATGAGGACGTGTTAGAGAAAAAGCGGAAAGATGAGGCCTGAGTGCATGGGAAAAGGATTGGAGAATGGGTGTGTATCGCCAGGAAAGCGCGGAAAGTGGGAGCAGAGACGAAAGTGGAAAGCAATTTGAGTAGCACGAGCAGTGCAGTGCAGGCAATCATGGCACATGATCGGAAGCGTCAAAAGGCTCACCTACGTGCAGAACAAAACAAGTGATATCGGTAGGTAGGTATGGCTGTGCCGACCCTACTATTTTCATGTCAATAAGTTGTATCATTCCACACATCGCAAGGGAATATCATCATGGCGACCGCATGAGAAAATGGCACCTGCGCAAGGGGAGAGGGACAGTTCGAGTAGGGGGGAGATCAAGCAAGCGGGGGGAGCAGAGCAAGCAAGCAGGATGAGATGAGGACGTGTTAGAGAAAAAGCGGAAAGATGAGGCCTGAGTGCATGGGAAAAGGATTGGAGAATGGGTGTGTATCGCCAGGAAAGCGCGGAAAGTGGGAGCAGAGACGAAAGTGGAAAGCAATTTGAGTAGCACGAGCAGTGCAGTGCAGGCAATCCTGGCACATGATCGGAAGCGTCAAAAGGCTCACCTGCGTGCAGAACAAGACAAGTGATATCGGTAGGTAGGTAGAAGCCGGGTGTCCGCGCCGCGAGTATGCATCATCGCATGCGGCATGGCATGGCATCGCGTGGCATGGAAGTCGCATCGCATGGCATGGCAGCACTTTTTGAGTCGAAGGTGTCGCCAGCTTCGTCGTCAACGAGAGCCATGTGGTTACCAGCCTCCTGAACAATCCATCACGTATACACACAGCACAGAACGAAACAGCATGAGTCAATATAGTACCATTCATAACCACTGAAGCTATATGCTAGCTTCAAGAGATGCACGCTGGAAGCTTGAAGCTCTCGCAGCGGGTCAGCCAATCGTCACGCACCTGGAAACTACTAACGCACGGTGATTCTAATCCAACGCACATGGAAAACCTCGTTCCAGGCGCGCCTGCCGCGCTGCAGCTCGTGCGCCTGCCACGCGGTTACTCGCGCGCCTGCCACGCGGTTACTCGCGCGCCTGCCACGCGGTTAATCGTGCGCGCCTCCCGCGCTGTTACTCGCGCGTCTGCCGCGCTGTGACTCGCGCGGCGCCATTAGTGCTGATGCGCGCACGCCCTCCGCGTGCCGCGCTGATGCTGGGTGGGAGAGGAGGTGCGGGGTAGGGTGAGTGGTGCAAGCTAGGAGAAGTGAATTACAGGGCGCGGGTACAGAGAGGTATAGGCGCAAAGGTGAGAAACCGATGTGAGGTAGGGCACAGAGAGGTATTTTGGCGCAAGGCAATAGTACCTGGTTCGATTCGTCGGTGCAAGGATCAGTTTCTAACAGCTGGAGTCGCTACAGTAGTAATGTGAATATCTCGTTATGTGCTGAAGTTGAATATCCCGTCAAGGTGACCTTGAGAGACGCATATCAGGACACTCTGGAGCTAAGGGGTGGGGAAAAGGAGCGGATGTGGGCGAGTCGACAAGGCAAGAAAGCAGGTTGAGACCTGAAATGGCAGAAAAGCCTTCACACAAGTCAATACAGCAGTGCGAGATGGGAAATCTAGACGAAATGTAGGGTTTTTGTTAAACAAGCAGCTGTTAGGTCAGAAACGTCGCTTTTGACGCTGCTCGGTGATCAGATAAACGAGATCGGATGAACTTGAACCAGTCAGTCAGGCATAATCTAGAAAGTGAATGTAGGAAAGGGCAGCGCGTACCTGCGGATATAAGCAGCGCAGATCGTAGCGTTTAACTTTAGGCGTTACGCGTGATCATTCGCGTGCGCTGGTTGACTATTTTGTTGCCGTTTTGTTCGGTGCGAGCGTGGAAAGGGCTATGAGAGAGCAGACGCGAATGATACTCCATTCTATCCTTTTGGTCCTAGCAACGTCGACCGAACTAGGAACAACCGTCTGACGGTGTTGGTGGCGGAATTGATACGAGAGCGCAGTACAGAGGCGGGATGCGGTGAGGATGCGGGAAAACCGAAAGCAACAGTATGTGCGACGGAACAAGTGACTAGCGTGCGACGCAACAGGCGATTCGCATGTGACACTAGCCGTCGCCGCAACAGATGCCTAGCACGCGTCTCGACCAAAGACTTGGCTAGGTAGTAGGAAAGGGCTAGGATGCGGTGAGGACGCGGGAAAACCGAAAGAAACAAGTATACGCGACGGAACAAGTGACTAGTGCGCGACGCAACAGGCGATTCGCATGTGACACTAGCCGTCGCCGCAACAGATGCCTAGCAAGCGTCTCGACCGAAGACTTGGCTAGTAAGTTGGAAAGATAAGCAACTTCCGTTATTGGGAACGCATCGCTAGCGGCGTCACTAGAGTGGGGAACGGCCACTTTCAGAGGTATGAAAGGCGACGAATATCGAGAGAGAGTAGAGAGTGGGTGCTGGAGCAGATGGGGATGAAATGCAACCCCACCCCACCCACCCACAACATGTTCTGAAACATGTCGGTCAAAAAGAAATATAACTAAGCAGCACAGCCTCTCGCCCTAATCAGAAGCGGAAATTTGTGACCAATGCGCTTGTATGACTGGGAAACAATCCCAAAGTAGCTCTAGAGGGAAGGGATGGGGGAAAAAAAAAAAAAAAAAACGAAACACAAAAAAGAGGGGGGGTGGAAAACAGAGTCTTCATCCGGAGTGTGATTGGAAACACTATCGAGGGGGATGTCAAGCGGTTCCGATTTGCAAGGGGTGTCGACGCGATTCCAATTTGCAAGGGGTGTCAAAGCGGTTCCAATTTGCAGGGGGTGTCAACAAGGTACTGATTTGCAGCGTGGTCTCGTCAATAGCAAATTTGGATCCTCTACTTATATGCATGCCAACCAACTAACACTTATAACAAAATGTAAATAGAAAATAGAAACAGCATCAGTAATAGCCAAATGTAGTAGCATGAGCAGTAGCAAATAACAGCAACACCAGCAGTAGCACCACATTACAACTGTAATACTAGTACTACAGCTAGAGCTACAGCTGCGATAGTAGTACCACATTAAAACTGTAATACTAGTACTACAGCTATATCTACACCAACACCAACACCAACACTAACAACAACACCAACACCAACACCAACACCAACACCTACACCAACACCAACACCAACACCAACACCAAGGGAAGGAGAAGGGGAAGGAGAAGGGGAAGGAGCAGGGGAAGAAGAAGGGGAAGGAGAAGGGGAAGGAGATTGGGAAGGAGAGGGCGAAGGAGAAGGGGAAGGAGAAGGGGAAGGAGAAGGGGAAAGAGGAGGGGAAGGAGAAGGGGAAGGAGAATGGGAATGAGAAGGCGAAAGAGAAGGCGAAGGAGAAGGGGAAGGAGAAGGAAGGGGAACAGGAAGAGGAAGGAGAGGGGAAGGCGAAGGGGAAGGAGAAGGGGAAGGAGAATGGGAATGAGAAGGCGAAAGAGAAGGCGAAGGAGAAGGGGAAGGAGAAGGGGAAGGAGAAGGGGAAGGAGAAGGAAGGGGAACAGGAAGAGGAAGGAGAGGGGAAGGCGAAGGGGAAGGAGAAGGCGAAGGAGAAGGCAAAGGTGTAGGAGAAGGCGAAGGAGAAGGCGAAGGAGAAGGCGAAGGCGAAGGCGAAGAAGAAGGCGAAGGAGAAGGCGAAAGAGAAGGCAAAGGAGAAGGCGAAGGAGAAGGAGAAGGCAAAGGAGAAGGGTAAGGAGAAGGGGAAGAAGAAGGGGAAGGAGAGGCAAGGGGAGCAGGAAGAGGAAGGAGAAGAGGAAGGCGAAGGGGAAGGTGAAGGCGAAGGAGAAGGCAAAGGAGAAGGCGAAGGCGAAGGAGAAGTTGAAGGAGAAGAAGGCGAAGGAGAAGGGGAAGGAGAAGGGGAATGCCAAGGCGAAGGAGAAGGCGAAAGAGAAGGCGAAGGAGAAAGGGAAGGGGAAGGGGAAAGGAAAGGAGAAGGCGTAGGAGGAGGCGAAGGAGAAGGCCAAGGAGAACGGGAAGAAGAAGGCAAAGGGGAAGGCGAAGGAGAAGGCGAAAGAGAAGGGGATGGAGAAGGGGAAGGAGAAGGGGAAGGAGAAAACATGGAAATTGAAAAGCAAACGGTAACCAAACTACAAAGGGAAGGAGAAGGGTAAAGAGAATGGAAAACAGAAGGCGAAGATGAAGGCGAAGGAGTAGGAGAAGGAGAAGGAGAAGGCGAACCAGAAGGCGAAGGAGAAGGGGAAGAAGATGGACAAGGAGAGGGAGAAGGAGGAGGAGAAGGAGAAGGAGAATGAGAAGAAGGAAAAGGAGAGGGAGAAGGAGAAGGAGAAGGTGAAGGTGTATTCGAAGGAAAAGGCAAAGGAGAAGAGGAAAGAGAAGGAAAATAGAAGGATAAGGAGAAGGAGAAGGAGAAGGAGAAGCGGACAAAGACAAGCAGAAACAAGAAAGAGAGAGAGAGAAAGAGGGAGAGAGAGAGAGAGAGAGAGAGAGAGAGAGAGAGAGAGAGACAGAGAGAGAGAGAGAGAGAGAGAGAGAGAGAGAGAGAGAGAGAGAGAGAGAGAGACTAGGGGTGGGGGGTGTTGGGGAGGGACTAGGGGTGTGTGTTCTGAAGGTTTTGTATTGTCGTTGCTCGACCCCGTTTGCTAGTCTTCATGCTAGACATGCTCTGGCCTAGAATATGCATGTTTGTACCAAACCACACTTATCAATACAAAGGACCGTTAGAGAAATAGAGAGAGAGAGAGAGAGAGAGAGAGAGAGAGAGAGAGAGAGAGAGAGAGAGAGAGAGAGAGAGAGAGAGAGAGAGAGAGAGAGAGAGACTAGGGGTGGGGGGGGGGTTGGGGAGGGACTAGGGGTGTGTGTTCTGAAGGTTTTGTATTGTCGTTGCTCGACCCCGTTTGCTAGTCTTCATGCTAGACATGCTCTGGCCTAGAATATGCATGTTTGTACCAAACCACACTTATCAATACAAAGGACCGTTAGAGAAATAGAGAGAGAGAGAGAGAGAGAGAGAGAGAGAGAGAGAGAGAGGGAGAGAGAGAGAGAGAGAGAGAGAGAGAGAGAGAGAGAGAGAGAGAGAGAGAGAGAGAGACTAGGGGTGGGGGGGGTTGGGGAGGGACTAGGGGTGTGTGTTCTGAAGGTTTTGTATTGTCGTTGCTCGACCCCGTTTGCTAGTCTTCATGCTAGACATGCTCTGGCCTAGAATATGCATGTTTGTACCGAACCACACTTATCAATACAAAGGACCGTTAGAGAAATCGAGAGAGAGAGAGAGAGAGAGAGAGAGAGAGAGAGAGAGAGAGAGAGAGAGAGAGAGAGGGAGGGAGGAGGAGGAGGAGGAGGAGGAGGAGGAGGAGGAGGAGGAGGAGGAGGAGGAGGAGGGGAAATAGAGGGAGAAGAAGAAGTTGAGGGAGACGGCATCCCCTTTTTCTTTACACACCCCCAGGCATTGGCGCCGCCCCGTCTTGCGCCTCCGTGGCGTTGCAGTGGCGCGATGGCGCAGGGCAGGCAGGTGCGGCACGGCACGGCACGATGCTGGGCAGGCAGGCACGGCATGGCATGGCACGGCACGGCACGGCACACAGCACAGCATGCGGACAGCAAGATGCGGATTGCGGATGTCCAGCACGCGCGGCATACGGGATGGCGATGGTGGCGGCGGAGGGCGCCCCGGCATCATGCCGAGTGCGCATCAGATGCCATCGCGCAGCGGCATGTGCCGTCACGGCCTGCAAGCAACCGTTGAGATGACGCGGCTGCGTGGAAGTGGGTAGACGCGCAGATGAGTGGAGCGACTCGGAATTACAAAAACGTCAGCAGGTAACAGCAGCGGCGACAAACAGCAGCGGCGACAACAGGTGCAGCAATCAGCACTCATAACAAGAGTAGAGAAGAACCAGCAGCATGAGTGGCAACAAGCAGCAGCAGAAGAGGGTGATGCTGATGAGGAAGGAAGGAGGGGGGCTGGGGCGAGGAGGACAAGAGCAGCAGAAGCAACAACAACAGGTGTGTGGTGCTTCTCTTTCAAACCTAAGAACCGAGAAGAAACGAGGAGAGCATGGTCGTGAGATGATTGTGTGAGCTGAATGCACACTGGCTGTGCTCCGTGCGTAGGCATGGGCGTGGGATTGTGTGTGCGCATGTGCATACGCCTGCCAAGGTCGCTGCAACATGTTCTCATCCCACTGCTATCATTGCTGCCCCCATGCCTCCCACCCCGCCCCAAATCTCCCTGCCTGCCCCAATCTCCTGCCTGCCCCAAATCTCCCTGCCTGTCCAGAATCTCCCTGCCCCAATCTCCCTGACCGTCCCACACCTCCCTGCTCGTCCCACCCATACATCCCTGCCTTCTCATACCTCCGTTCCTGCCTCATACCTCCCTGCCTGCCCCATACCTCTCCCTGCCTGCCCCATACCTCTCCCTGCCTGCCCCATACCTCTCCCTGCCTGCCCCATACCTCTCCCTGCCTGCCCCATACCTCTCCCTGCCTGCCCCATACCTCTCCCTGCCTGCCCCATACCTCTCCCTGCCTGCCCCATACCTCTCCCTGCCTGCCCCATACCTCTCCCTGCCTGCCCCATACCTCTCCCTGCCTGCTCCATACCTCTCCCTGCCTGCCCCATACCTCTCCCTGCCTGCCCCATACCTCTCCCTGCCTGCCCCATACCTCTCGCTGCCTGCCCCATACCTCTCGCTGCCTGCCCCATACCTCTCCCTGCCTGCCCCATACCTCTCCCTGCCTGCCCCATACCTCTCCCTGCCTGCCCCATACCTCTCCCTGCCTGCCCCATACCTCTCCTTGCCTGCCCCATACCTCTCCCTGCCTGCCCCATACCTCTCCCTGCCTGCCCCATACCTCTCCCTGCCTGCCCCATACCTCTCCCTGCCTGCTCCATACCTCTCCCTGCCTGCCCCATACCTCTCCCTGCCTGCCCCATACCTCTCCCTGCCTGCCCCATACCTCTCGCTGCCTGCCCCATACCTCTCGCTGCCTGCCCCATACCTCTCCCTGCCTGCCCCATACCTCTCCCTGCCTGCCCCATACCTCTCCCTGCCTGCCCCATACCTCTCCCTGCCTGCCCCATACCTCTCCCTGCCTGCCCCATACCTCTCCCTGCCTGCCCCATACTTCCAAGTGGTTGCTTAGCCGCTCTGCTGGTTGTGTGTGCTCTGCTGCATTCCCCCATTGCCCCCTCGTGATTTGCTGTTTTGGTCTCCTGTGCCAGCCCGTTCAACTGCCTCCTTTCCTTTCCTGGCCTCTCTTACCTCCTCTTGACCAGGGGTAATGTCCCCTCCCTAGTGCAGCTCCCAGGCATACCAACAATCACTGCTCCACCCATCCGCCTCCGTCTCCTCCTCCTCCTCCTCCTCCTCCTCCTCCTCCTCCTCCTCCTCCTCCTCCTCCTCCTCCTCCTCCTCCTCCTCCTCCACCTCCTTCTTCTTCTTCTCCTCCTCCTCCTCCTCCTCTTCGCCTCCACCCGTCGGACCCCATGCCATTGCCACGCATCATGTCAAGCCACACTCCTCCGCTCGCTCGCATGCTGCTGCCACCGCTGTGGCGGCACCATCGCTGGCAGCGGCAGTGCCGTGCCGCAGGCCGCTCCGCCCGTGCGTGGCGCCAGCGTCGCGCTGAACCTGCCCACCCGCAGCCTGTCGCTCGGAGGCGGCAAGTACACGCTGGCTTTAAGTGGCGATCTTGCGAGGTTTACGAGCAATGGCAGCGAGTGCCAAGAAGGGGTTCCGCATGGGGGCAACGACGGTGCTGCTGAGCGGAGAGATTGTGGATGATGCGGGGGCGAAGATCACGCCCACGGGTCCTGATGTGGACGGGGCGTACACTGCATGGGACCTGAGAGGGTGGCCCAACGGGACCGTTGTTGGCAGCAATGGTGTGGTGCTGTATGCTGGAGCGCTGCTCACTCTTACGTCTGAGGGCACCATTGCTCTTGCTACTCCTTCCATTCCCACTGCTGCTGCCGCTGCTACCCCTGCTGCTGCTACCCCTGCTGCTGCCACCCCTGCTGCTACCACTCCTGCTGCTGCCACCCCTGCCGCTGCTACTCCTCCTGCTGGTGCCTCTGCCCCACCCCCTCCCAAGGCTGCTGGTGAGTGTGTCTCCTACACTTCTCGTAAGCTTCTCCTATGCTTCTCCTATGCTTCTCCTATGCTTCTCCTATGCTTCTCCTATGCTTCTCCTATGCTTCTCCTATGCTTCTCCTATGCTTCTCCTATACTTATCCTATGCTTCTCCCATTCCTCTCCCGTGCACCTTCTCCCTTTCTGATGTGGTAGGCAAAGTTTTCGTTTCTCTCGAATGCTTCCTGTTTGCCTTCCTGTTTGCCCTCCTGTTTGGTACATCGCTTTGTGATTCCGCTGCACATTTCCACATTCCTCGATTCCCAAATCTCAAGTGGGCTGTTCCGACCTGATTCTGTTTCCCCAGTTGTTCCTCCTCGCAATGGCAGGTTCACTTGCTTCACCGGCCGCTGCTCTCACTGCTCTCATCACTCTCGCCCTCGCCCCACTCATGCTCATGTAGCAACGCGGCTCTATGTAAGACCAGGCGTGGGCACAAGGGGGCTGTGGTAATGGTTTAGTGTTACTGTGGAGTGGAGGCATGCGGTGTTCATGTGGTGGTGGGGGTGGAGGGGGTGGTGGTGCTTGTTCTTGCTGTATTGCCTTGCCTGTGCATGTCTCTGGATGGATTGGTTGGTTGGCGAAAGGAAGTATCGTAAATTGAACCAGCCTTGAAGTAACAGCTATGCTGTGGTATAAGAATAAGTACCAGTAATAAAACTTGTGATTCGCAACCTTGCAGTAACGGCTTGTACTGGTACCAACATTGCTTCAAGCATTCAGCAAAATGCCAGTTTGGCCTGGTCAACTAGAAAGAACACACCGTACGGTCAAGGAGATTGCCCTCAATGTGCAATCTCCATGACCAAACAAGCCAATCAATCTCTTTGACTGGATTACCCTAGAAGGCCTTCAAAGTGAACAATCGAGATTATCACGGTACATGAACCATGCCTTCCATTCCACACACTAAAGAATCTTCAAGTCAGTCCACCCAACCAAAGCCAACAATAAATATGCCAGGTCAAAGCTACAGCAACAAGAGCCTCCTTCATCACATGAACCACCTCCCCGCGGCGTATTTCGATTGGTTGTTGGTGGCCGTCTTATCCAGAAAGGGTCCGACGAACCAATGGCGTGCGTCGACAAACCACCAGACGAGGAAGAAGGAAACTACCACGAAGATTCCGACACACGCGTAGTTGAAGTTGCTTGCGGTGATGGGGAAGACCATTGGTAGCATAAAGATGCTGACTGTTTCAAGGACAAAGAGAATGGCTCCAATGTTGATCAGTTTCCTGCACTCCAATAGGCAGAGGGTGAGTGAGAGATAGAGAGAGGAGGGGAGGGGTGGAGGTGAATGAGTAGTGCCTTCTGCAAGGGTTAGAGAAGAGGAGAGAGACCATGGTTTAGGGAGGAGGGGTGAATGAGCAGCGCCGTCTGCAAGGGTTAGAGAAAAAGACAGAGATCAACTCTTATGCCCCATACACACACTCGTACCAGGCTCGCACAGACCGAGGCAGAGCATTGCAGCAAGGCAAGGCAAGTCTTGAAAGGTCTCAAGAAACCCACATGAGGTATACATACGAGTTTCGAGACATGTCAAAAGATGTTCGCACCAGGAGCAAACCGACTGAGAGAGTGAGCACTGCTGCACCAAACCAAGCCATGCCATGCCATGCTGTGCTTTCTAACTCACCTGCCCCACGCACCCTCTCCCGCCCTCACCTGCCCCACACGCCGACGTATTTAGAGAGGTAGAACGGGCCCGGTTCAAAGTCCTCCTCCCTTTGAATGAGCCGAAAGAAGATGGGGACAGCATAGCCGCCCACCCAGGCGACGGTGGCGAGGGAGGTGATGGCGGAGAAGAGGAAAGAGTCCTTGAGGAGTGGCAGGGAGAAGAGGATGGCGACGCCACAGCACAGCCACACGGAGTAGATGGGCGTCTTGTCTCGGTTCACCCGCCGCCAGATGAGCGCGAATGGCAGGCCCTTGTCTCGCGATATGGCGTAGGCCTGGGGGGATGGGGTGGGCGGGGGAGGGGTGCAGGGGGTGCAGGGCGGAGCGGAGGGGGGGAGGGGAGGAGGAGAAGGTGGGGAAAAGGAGGGAATGTGTAAAGGGGAGTAGCCAGGGGATTAGTGAGGAGGAAGAGGGCAGAGTCCTCGAGGAGGGGCAGGGAGAAGAGGATGGGTGAAAAGGATGAAGGAGCAAGCACAGGCAGGGGCGGGTGAGCAAGCACACGCAGGGGCGGGTGAGCAAAGCAAACACATGGACGGATGGGAGTGACTGACTGACCGCTCCGAGGGCTCCAAGCCAAGAAGGCCTCCTTGCTGAATTCAGATTTGAGAATTCTCAAAAGCAACTCGGGCTGTGCGTGCAAGCAGAGGGCGGAGGGAACAGTGACTGACCGCGCGGGAGGCGCCAAGAATGCCGGCGAAGACGCCAAAGAGGAAGGCGATGTAGATGAGTGAGAGCACCACCACCGCCCCTGTGCCACTGCCGAAGCTGTTGCAGGAGACAGGCACAAGAGGGGACAGCAACACACGGTAGCACGAGGGGGGGTGCATGGGAGGATGGAAGAGGAAGGCGATGTAGATGAGCGAGAGCACCACCACCGCCCCTGTGCCGCTGCCAAACCTGTGGGGGGAGGAAGAGGAGGGCAATGCAGATGCGTGAGAGCACTGCCACTGCCCAGCTGGTGGGGAACATAACCCCTGCACAGCTGTCAAAAGTGTGGTGGGAAAGGGGTTAGGGTGATAAGGGGAAAGAGAGGTGAACACGGGGGTTTGGAAGAGGAAAGCGACGTGGATGAGCGAAAGCACGACTTTTGAGGCGCCTCAAAAGACGATGAGAGTGGATGAGCAAAAGCACGACCACCACCACCCCTGTGTCGTTGCCAAGACTGTGCGGGGAGGGGGGGGAGGATGGGGTGGGCGTGGTTGAGGTGAGAATGAGGAGGATATGAGTGAATACAGGAAAGGTGGGATATGACAACACATAGGGGGAAGGGGGAAGGGGGAAGCCATATACCAAGCCAATCACTAAGCAACTCCCGAACCTCTTATGGAGGCAGTTCTTGAGACACCCACCACGCCGCGAAGGCCTCCCGTATGATGGTAGCCAGGATCTGCTGCCAGCCCGTCATGCTGTCCCTGCTGGTGAGATTGCCACCGCTCTAAACACCCAAGTACCCTTGGTGAAGCCCACGGCAGGTTGCTTGCACGCGAGCAGCAGCCGAACCACTTCCCCAGCCACTTACCGAGCCACAAAGGCCTCCCAGATGGTAGTCAGTAACCTACTGATGAGCCGATCTGATCTGCTGCCCGCCCGTAACGCTATCCGTACTGGTGGGATTCTCTTCGTCCTGAATGCTAAAAGTGAAGGCCACGAGCAGCCCCCGGGCGAGCCACTTACCGAGGCACCTACCGAGCTGCCCACCGAACCACGTACCGAGCGAAAAAGGCCTCCCAGATGATGGTAACCAGGATCTGATTGCCGGCCGTAACGCTGTCCGGGCTGGTGAGGTTGTCGTCGTTCTGAATGCAGAAGGTGAAGGCGACGAGCAGCCCCCACGCGAGCAGGCTGACCGCGGACAGGCAGAGCACCATGCTGGCTGGGGACGCGCGATCGGAGCGCTTGGTCTCCTCTGCCATGTGGGCCACTGTGTCGTATGCGTAGAGGGAGTACTGCGATAGCTGCATCGCTGCTATGAAGGCGTACGCCTGTAAGAGAAGAATAGGGTGCGGTGAAGAGAGGTGAAGAGAGGTGGGTCTCAGGTGGAGAGCGCTTGGTCTCCTCTGCCATGTGGGCCACTGTGTCGTATGCGTAGAGGGAGTACTCGGATAGCTGCATCGCTGCTATGAAGGCGTACGCCTGGGCAGGGTCCAGAGGGGAAGGGAGGGAAGGTGAGAGAGGGAATAGATGGAGTTGCATGTGGGTGGTGGCGGGTGCGTGTCTCTGCCATGCTGGCTGGCAGAGAACGTGTGGTTAGAGCTCTTGATTTCTTCTGCTATGTGGGCGGCGGTGTCGTATGCGTAGAGGGAGTACTGGGACAGCTGCATGGCTGCTATGAAGGCGTAGGCCCGGGGGGGGGATTGGAAGGGGGATGTGCAGCAATGGGTATCAAAGTGAGAGGAGGGGCACGCAGGTGAGAGGCGTTTTTGAGGCGCCTCGAAACTTGCCTGGGAGGTGGGGATGGGGGGGGAGGCAGGGATTGGCATCACAAGTCAGAGGAGGGGCACGCACTTGTGTGACACTTTGAGCAACATCAGTCCAGGGCCTGTCATGCTGGGTTTAGACGAAGAGATTCAGTGGTGCAGAGTGGTGCAAAGCGTGCGGCAATGACACATCCAGCTGCAACTTGTAGTGAGTGGAGATGAAAGCTGGCGCATAGCGCACGCACACAAGCCATAGATTGAGCGGTGCAGAATAGTGCAGAGAGGTGTAGAGTGTTGTAGGGTGGTGCAGTGGTGGCGCAGTGGCAGTGCACTGGCATTGCAGTGCGGTACTCACCACAGTGGCCAGCAAAGACACGTCCGGCTGCACGTGTTCTGGGTGAAGACCAAGGCTGGCACCTGGCGCACATAGGTCATTTATTCAACGGTGCAGAGCGGTGTACAGTGGTGCAGAGTGGTGGAGATGGGTACTCACCATAGTGGGCAGCAGAGACACGTCCAGCTGCACGTGGTGGTGAGTGAAGACGAAGGAGGCACTCTGGTGCACTGGCGCTACCGACGGCAGCAGAATCATGATGACTATGGCGAGACCCATCTAGGGACGAAGGGAGTGGTTAAGGGCAGAAGACATGGTGGGAACACGGGTAGAGGGAGGTTGGCTTGGCAGCAGCAGGGGAATGGGATGGGATGACTGGCAGTAGCGAGGGGAGCAGAATCATCTGCTCAAAGGGGAAACCCATGTGGAAGGGGAAACCCGTCTGGGGAGTAAGGGGGGGAGAGTAGCATGAGCCCGGGAGGGAAGGGGGATGGAGAATGATGGAAGAGAGGATGGGATGACTGGCGCAGCGCACAGGTGCTAGTGCTACTGCGGTGCAGCAGAATCCTGGAGACTATGGCGATTCCCATTTGGGGAGGGGGAGAGTGGTAAGTGGGAGAGGGGAGGGTGGAAGCAGGGGAATGCGGTGAGCGGCGGTATCAAGGGCAGCAGAAGAATCATGGTGTGGTGACAAAGGCGAGTCCCATCTGGGGGTGGAGCATGGGAGAGAAACATAGAGAGAAACTGATAAGTCTACTTGACCTGACCTGATAAACAGCACTGCTGATTACGGCCACACGACCGATGAACTCGATTGAGAAGGAGTTGAGGATGCCGCAGAGGAGAGCACGTGAATAGAGGGGGGGGGGGGGGAGGAAGGAGGGGAGGAGGAGTGGTGCTGCTGAGCGGCTACAGTGAAGGGGATGCTGCTAAAGTGATGGCAACCCACCTGGTAATCATCAGCGCTCATCACGGCCACACGGCCGATGAACTTAATTGAGGAGTTGAGAGGAGGAGAGGGAAGTGTGGGAGGGGGGCGAGCAGGGGAGTGCGCGCAAGTGGGAAGGGAGGCTGACCTGACAAACAGCGCTCATCACGGCCATACGGCCGATCAACTTGATGGGGAAGGAGTTGAGTTGAGGAGTCGGAGTGTTTGTGAGCGGGCGGGCGGGCGGGAGGCATGCATAGAGCAGGGGAGGGTTTCGGGGAGCTACTTACAAAGCATTGCTGCCACAGTAGAGACAGGCAGATTACCTGATAGACGGCACTGACGACGGCAAGGCGGCCGATGAACTTGATGGAGAAGGAGTTGAGAATGCCGCAGAGGAGAATGGCGCCCACTGTGATGGCAAACGACTCGTAGTTGTTCAGCAGGTAGCCTCCCCCATTCGCCCCTCCTGGTGATGGGAAGGAGGGAGGGGGAGAGAGTGGAAGGGGAGGAGAAGGAGACGCGTGAGAGGAGAATGGCACCCACTGTGATGGCGCCCACTGTGATGGCAAACGACTGGTAGTTGTTTAGCAGGTAGCCCCCGCCGTTGGTCCCTCCTGGTGATGTGAGAGAGAGAAGAGGATGGAGAGAGCGTGAGGAGAGGGAGGCGGAGAGGGAGAGGGAGAGGGAGAGGGAGAGGGAGAGGGAAAGGGAGAGGGAGAGGGAGAGGGAGAGGGAGAGGGAAAGGGAGAGGGAGAGGGAGAGGGACGGGTGGGGGAGTGGGACGAGGAGGAGGGGCAAGGCAGAGGGGAAGGCGAAGCTGAGAACACTGGCACCAGCTGTGATGGCTAAGGCTGGCTGGCTGTTGGTTAACAGGTAGCCCTGCCATTTGACTGTCCTCTCTTGGCTCCGAGAAAGATAGGTGCAGAAGGATACGGGAGAATCCACTCCACTCCCGAATGCTCTCTTGTCTGTCCCTGAGCTACTTTGCTGGACGATCTTTGAGGAGCCTCAAGACGGACAGAGGAAAATGCTTCATAGTGCTCTCTTGTAACGAGGTGACTTTTGAGCCGACTCAAAACGACTGTAGCGGAGAATGCCTCGTTGTGCTCTCTTGTCTGTCGAGACACAACAACTGTCGAGGGGACTCAAACCTCACCTCGAAACGGGGTGGGGTGATACACCTCAATACGCTCGCTCATTGAGGTCACAATACACCGTGCTCGGCACCTCAATACGCTCACTCATAGTGCTCTCTGGCCAGTCCATATGCATGGAGTAACTGTAGGATAATATATCAAACAATTCATTCCACCCGGCAATCTTCACGGTTCTTCTCAAGATAGGATAGGATGATGTATCGGGATGGGATAGAACAGGATAATGTACACACCATGCATGCATGCAGCCGGATGGGATGGAAGTGCCTGTGGCAGCGAGCACGGTGTACTGTAGCATGATCACCCCGCTGTACGAGACGCCGCTTGGTTCAAAGCCCCACTGTATGTTGGCCTGGTCTAACCCAAAGCCCCAGACAGATGGCAGTACCTGTGGCGACCAGCACGGTGTACTGTAGCATGATCACCCCGCCGTACGAGACGCCGCCCAGCCCCACAGAAAGGCCGAGAAACTCAAGCCAGCCCTGCAGAAGGGGCGGGGGGAAACCCGGGTTGGGATGAGATGATGTGGAGAGAGGGGTTGGGATGAGATGATGTGGAGAGAGGGGTTTGGATGAGATGATGTGGAGAGAGGGATTTGGATGAGATGATGTGGAGAGAGGGGTTTGGATGAGATGATGTGGAGAGAGGGGTTTGGATGAGATGATGTGGAGAGAGGGGTTTGAATGAGATGATGTGGAGAGAGGGGTTTGGATGAGATGATGTGGAGAGAGGGGTTGGGATGAGATGATGTGGAGAGAGGGGTTTGGATGGGATGATGTGGAGAGAGGGGTTTGGATGAGATGATGTGGAGAGAGGGGTTGGGATGAGATGATGTGGAGAGAGGGGTTTGGATGAGATGATGTGGAGAGAGGGGTTGGGATGAGATGATGTGGAGAGAGGGGTTTGGATGGGATGATGTGGAGAGAGGGGTTTGGATGAGATGATGTGGAGAGAGGGGTTGGGATGAGATGATGTGGAGAGAGGGGTTTGGATGGGATGATGTGGAGAGAGGGGTTTGGATGAGGCGCGGGGGCAGACGGGCTGGGATGAGATGTGGGTGGGGACGGGTCGAGTTCATGTTTGAGAATTACTAAAACAATAAAAGTAACCAGTACCATCGCACGCCACTCAAACGCAACCCCCCCCATGGGCCCCCCAAGGCCCCCCTAAGGCCCCCCTACCCCCCAACTCTCCTCAAAGCCCCTCACACAGCACCCCACCCCCCCCCCCCCCCCTCGCATCGCCCCTCACACAGCCCCCGTCACACAGCCCCCCTCACACAGCCTGGCCGGGCCAGAACTTACATGCATGCCCTGGTTTCTTATTGTCTGTCCCTGTCCCTGCTGGCCTCTGTCTCTCTCTAATAATTGACTTCCATTTCGGTTTCTGCCTGTCCCTGTCCCTCTCCCTGCTTCTGTCCCTGTCTCTGTTTCTCTTCCTGTTTTGGTTTCACATCCCGAGCCTCCGCTCGAGGTCTGGCCTGACCTCCCCGGGTCGCCCCGGACCTCTCCAGGCCTGGCCAGGGCACGGCCACACCGGCTCATATAGCATGCCAAACACGCACGAGTACCTAAGTAAGTTTGGAATCCATTTGTCAATCCTAGAGTATGTATTTACTATCCTACTTGTTCATTGTATCTTCACAGCAGAGAGCGTCAAGATGGCGCCCCGCAAGGGAGAACCCCACCTGCCAAAGGTGGTGTGGGGTGGGGTGGGGCGGGGTGGAAGGAGGGACGGATGGGGGGATGGCGGGTGTGAGGGAATGGTGTGTGGCGGGTTCTGAAGCTTGGCAGATGTGGCGAGTGGTGGGGAGGAGAGGAGGTGAACACAGGGGAGGAGAGTTGAGCAGAGGGGAGGAGAGAAGGTGAACGAAGGGGAGGAGAGGAGGTGAACGGCGGGGAGGAGAGGAGTTGAACGGAGGGGGGGAGAGGAGGTGAACGGAGGGGAGGAGAGGAGGTGAATGGAGGGGAGGAGAGGAGTTGAACGGAGGGGAGGAGAGGAGTTGAACGGAGGGGAGGAGAGGAGGTGAACGGAGGGGAGGAGAGGAGTTGAACGGAGGGGAGGAGAGGAGTTGAACGGAGGGGAGGAGAGGAGGTGAATGGAGGGAGGAGAGGAGTTGAACGGAGGGGAGGAGAGGAGTTGAACGGAGGGGAGGAGAGGAGGTGAACGGAGGGGAGGAGAGGAGTTGAACGGAGGGGAGGAGAGGAGGTGAACGGAGGGGAGGAGAGGAGTTGAACGGAGGGGAGGAGAGGAGGTGAATGGAGGGGAGGAGAGGAGTTGAACGGAGGGGAGGAGAGGAGTTGAACGGAGGGGAGGAGAGGAGGTGAACGGAGTGGAGGAGAGGAGTTGAACGTAGGGGAGGAGAGGAGGTTAACGGAGGGGAGGAGAGGAGTTGAACAGAGGGGAGGAGAGGAGGTGAACGGAGGGGAGGAGAGGAGTTGAACGGAGGGGAGGAGACGAGGTGAACGGAGGGGAGGAGAGGAGTTGAACGGAGGGGAGGAGAGGAGGTGAACGGAGGGGAGGAGAGGAGTTGAACGGAGGGGAGGAGAGGAGTTAAACGGAGGGGAGGAGAGGAGTTGAACGGAGGGGAGGAGAGGAGGTGAACGGAGGGGAGGAGAGGAGTTGAACGCAGGGGAGGAGAGGAGGTGAACGGAGGGGAGGAGAGGAGTTGAACGGAGGGGAGGAGAGGAGGTGAACGGAGGGGAGGAGAGGAGTTGAACGGAGGGGAGGAGAGGAGTTGAACGGAGAGGAGGAGAGGAGGTGAACGGAGGGGAGGAGAGGAGGTGAACGGAGGGGAGGAGAGGAGGTGAACGGAGGGGAGGAGAGGAGTTGAACGGAGGGGAGGAGAGGAGTTGAACGGAGGGGAGGAGAGGAGTTGAACGGAGGGGAGGAGAGGAGGTGAACAAAGGGGAGGAGAGGAGGTGAACGGAGGGGAGGAGAGGAGTTGAACGGAGGGGAGGAGAGGAGGTGAACAAAGGGGAGGAGAGGAGGTGAACGGAGGGGAGGAGAGGAGTTGAACGGAGGGGAGGAGAGGAGTTGAACGGAGGGGAGGAGAGGAGGTGAACGGAGGGGAGGAGAGGAGTTGAACGGAGGGGAGGAGAGGAGGTGAACGGAGGGGAGGAGAGGAGTTGAACGGAGGGGAGGAGAGGAGGTGAACGGAGGGAGGAGAGGAGGTGAACGGAGGGGAGGAGAGGAGCTGAACGGAGGGGAGGAGAGGAGTTGAACAGAGGGGAGGAGAGGAGGTGAACGGAGGGGAGGAGAGGAGGTGAACGGAGGGGAGGAGACGAGGTGAACGGAGGGGAGGAGAGGAGTTGAACGGAGGGGAGGAGAGGAGGTGAACGGAGGGGAGGAGAGGAGTTGAACGGAGGGGAGGAGAGGAGTTAAGCGGAGGGGAGGAGAGGAGTTGAACGGAGGGGAGGAGAGGAGGTGAACGGAGGGGAGGAGAGGAGTTGAACGGAGGGGAGGAGAGGAGGTGAACGGAGGGGAGGAGAGGAGTTGAACGGAGGGGAGGAGAGGAGGTGAACGGAGGGGAGGAGAGGAGTTGAACGGAGGGGAGGAGAGGAGTTGAACGGAGGGGAGGAGAGGAGTTGAACGGAGGGGAGGAGAGGAGGTGAACGGAGGGGAGGAGAGGAGTTGAACGGAGGGGAGGAGAGGAGGTGAACGGAGGGGAGGAGAGGAGTTGAACGGAGGGGAGGAGAGGAGTTGAACGGAGGGGAGGAGAGGAGGTGAACGGAGGGGAGGAGAGGAGCTGAACGGAGGGGAGGAGAGGAGGTGAACGGAGGGGAGGAGAGGAGTTGAACGGAGGGAAGGAGAGGAGTTGAACGGAGGGGAGGAGAGGAGTTGAACGGAGGGGAGGAGAGGAGGTGAACGGAGGGGAGGAGAGGAGTTGAACGGAGGGGAGGAGAGGAGGTGAACGGAGGGGAGGAGAGGAGTTGAACGGAGGGGAGGAGAGGAGGTGAACGGAGGGGAGGAGAGGAGTTGAACGGAGGGAGGAGAGGAGTTGAACGGAGGGGAGGAGAGGAGGTGAACGGAGAGGAGGAGAGGAGTTGAACGGAGGGGAGGAGAGGAGGTGAACGGAGGGGAGGAGAGGAGTTGAACGGAGGGGAGGAGAGGAGTTCAACGGAGGGGAGGAGAGGAGGTGAACGGAGGGGAGGAGAGGAGTTGAACGGAGGGGAGGAGAGGAGTTGAACGGAGGGGAGGAGAGGAGGTGAACGGAGAGGAGGAGAGGAGTTGAACGGAGGGGAGGAGAGGAGGTGAACGGAGGGGAGGAGAGGAGTTGAACGGAGGGGAGGAGAGGAGGTGAATGGAGGGGAGGAGAGGAGTTGAACGGAGGGGAGGAGAGGAGTTGAACGGAGGGGAGGAGAGGAGGTGAACGGAGTGGAGGAGAGGAGTTGAACGTAGGGGAGGAGAGGAGGTTAACGGAGGGGAGGAGAGGAGTTGAACAGAGGGGAGGAGAGGAGGTGAACGGAGGGGAGGAGAGGAGTTGAACGGAGGGGAGGAGACGAGGTGAACGGAGGGGAGGAGAGGATTTGAACGGAGGGGAGGAGAGGAGGTGAACGGAGGGGAGGAGAGGAGTTGAACGGAGGGGAGGAGAGGAGTTAAACGGAGGGGAGGAGAGGAGTTGAACGGAGGGGAGGAGAGGAGGTGAACGGAGGGGAGGAGAGGAGTTGAACGGAGGGGAGGAGAGGAGGTGAACGGAGGGGAGGAGAGGAGTTGAACGGAGGGGAGGAGAGGAGGTGAACGGAGGGGAGGAGAGGAGGTGAACGGAGGGGAGGAGAGGAGTTGAACGGAGGGGAGGAGAGGAGTTGAACGGAGGGGAGGAGAGGAGGTGAACGGAGGGGAGGAGAGGAGGTGAACGGAGAGGAGGAGAGGAGTTGAACGAAGGGGAGGAGAGGAGGTGAACGGAGGGGAGGAGAGGAGTTAAATGGAGGGGAGGAGAGGAGGTGAACGGAGGGGAGGAGAGGAGGTGAACGGAGGGGAGGAGAGGAGTTGAACGGAGGGGAGGAGAGGAGTTGAACGGAGGGGAGGAGAGGAGGTGAACGGAGGGGAGGAGAGGAGGTGAACGGAGAGGAGGAGAGGAGTTGAACGAAGGGGAGGAGAGGAGGTGAACGGAGGGGAGGAGAGGAGTTGAACGGAGGGGAGGAGAGGAGGTGAACGGAGGGGAGGAGAGGAGTTGAACGGAGGGGAGGAGAGGAGTTGAACGGAGGGGAGGAGAGGAGGTGAACGGAGGGGAGGAGAGGAGTTGAACGGAGGGGAGGAGAGGAGGTGAACGGAGGGGAGGAGAGGAGTTGAACGGAGGGGAGGAGAGGAGTTGAACGGAGGGGAGGAGAGGAGTTGAACGGAGGGGAGGAGAGGAGGTGAACGGAGGGGAGGAGAGGAGTTGAACGGAGGGGAGGAGAGGAGGTGAACGGAGGGGAGGAGAGGAGTTGAACGGAGGGGAGGAGAGGAGTTGAACGGAGGGGAGGAGAGGAGGTGAACGGAGGGGAGGAGAGGAGCTGAACGGAGGGGAGGAGAGGAGGTGAACGGAGGGGAGGAGAGGAGTTGAACGGAGGGAAGGAGAGGAGTTGAACGGAGGGAGGAGAGGAGTTGAACGGAGGGGAGGAGAGGAGGTGAACGGAGGGGAGGAGAGGAGTTGAACGGAGGGGAGGAGAGGAGGTGAACGGAGGGGAGGAGAGGAGTTGAACGGAGGGGAGGAGAGGAGGTGAACGGAGGGGAGGAGAGGAGTTGAACGGAGGGGAGGAGAGGAGTTGAACGGAGGGGAGGAGAGGAGGTGAACGGAGAGGAGGAGAGGAGTTGAACGGAGGGGAGGAGAGGAGGTGAACGGAGGGGAGGAGAGGAGTTGAACGGAGGGGAGGAGAGGAGTTAAACGGAGGGGAGGAGAGGAGGTGAACGGAGGGGAGGAGAGGAGTTGAACGGAGGGGAGGAGAGGAGTTGAACGGAGGGGAGGAGAGGAGGTGAACGGAGAGGAGGAGAGGAGTTGAACGGAGGGGAGGAGAGGAGGTGAACGGAGGGGAGGAGAGGAGTTGAACGGAGGGGAGGAGAGGAGGTGAATGGAGGGGAGGAGAGGAGTTGAACGGAGGGGAGGAGAGGAGTTGAACGGAGGGGAGGAGAGGAGGTGAACGGAGTGGAGGAGAGGAGTTGAACGTAGGGGAGGAGAGGAGGTTAACGGAGGGGAGGAGAGGAGTTGAACAGAGGGGAGGAGAGGAGGTGAACGGAGGGGAGGAGAGGAGTTGAACGGAGGGAGGAGACGAGGTGAACGGAGGGGAGGAGAGGATTTGAACGGAGGGGAGGAGAGGAGGTGAACGGAGGGGAGGAGAGGAGTTGAACGGAGGGGAGGAGAGGAGTTAAACGGAGGGGAGGAGAGGAGTTGAACGGAGGGGAGGAGAGGAGGTGAACGGAGGGGAGGAGAGGAGTTGAACGGAGGGGAGGAGAGGAGGTGAACGGAGGGGAGGAGAGGAGTTGAACGGAGGGGAGGAGAGGAGGTGAACGGAGGGGAGGAGAGGAGGTGAACGGAGGGGAGGAGAGGAGTTGAACGGAGGGGAGGAGAGGAGTTGAACGGAGGGGAGGAGAGGAGGTGAACGGAGGGGAGGAGAGGAGGTGAACGGAGAGGAGGAGAGGAGTTGAACGAAGGGGAGGAGAGGAGGTGAACGGAGGGGAGGAGAGGAGTTAAATGGAGGGGAGGAGAGGAGGTGAACGGAGGGGAGGAGAGGAGGTGAACGGAGGGGAGGAGAGGAGTTGAACGGAGGGGAGGAGAGGAGTTGAACGGAGGGGAGGAGAGGAGGTGAACGGAGGGGAGGAGAGGAGGTGAACGGAGAGGAGGAGAGGAGTTGAACGAAGGGGAGGAGAGGAGGTGAACGGAGGGGAGGAGAGGAGTTGAACGGAGGGGAGGAGAGGAGGTGAACGGAGGGGAGGAGAGGAGTTGAACGGAGGGGAGGAGAGGAGTTGAACGGAGGGGAGGAGAGGAGGTGAACGGAGGGGAGGAGAGGAGGTGAACGGAGGGGAGGAGAGGAGTTGAACAGAGGGGAGGAGAGGAGGTGAACGGAGGGGAGGAGAGGAGTTGAACGGAGGGAAGGAGAGGAGTTGAACGGAGGGGAGGAGAGGAGTTGAACGGAGGGGAGGAGAGGAGGTGAACGGAGGGGAGGAGAGGAGTTGAACGGAGGGGAGGAGAGGAGGTGAACGGAGGGGAGGAGAGGAGTTGAACGGAGGGGAGGAGAGGAGGTGAACGGAGGGGAGGAGAGGAGTTGAACGGAGGGGAGGAGAGGAGTTGAACGGAGGGGAGGAGAGGAGGTGAACGGAGAGGAGGAGAGGAGTTGAACGGAGGGGAGGAGAGGAGGTGAACGGAGGGGAGGAGAGGAGTTGAACGGAGGGGAGGAGAGGAGTTAAACGGAGGGGAGGAGAGGAGTTGAACGGAGGGGAGGAGAGGAGTTGAACGGAGGGGAGGAGAGGGGGTGAACGGAGGGGAGGAGAGGAGTTGAACGAAGGGGAGGAGAGGAGGTGAACGGAGGGGAGGAGAGGAGTTGAACGGAGGGGAGGAGAGGAGGTGAACGGAGGAGAGGAGAGGAGTTGAACGGAGGGGAGGAGAGGAGGTGAACGGAGGGGAGGAGAGGAGTTGAACGGAGGGGAGGAGAGGAGGTGAACGGAGGGGAGGAGAGGAGTTGAACGGAGGGGAGGAGAGGAGGTGAACGGAGAGGAGGAGAGGGTTTATCATAGGAACTGGCGGGATGCCACGTGTGGTGCGGCCGAGCCGAGCCTCTCACCTGGCTGTGACGAGCCTCTCACCTGGCTGTGACGAGCCTCTCACCTGGCTGTGACGAGCCTCTCACCTGGCTATGACGAGCCTCTCACCTGGCTGTGACGAGCCTCTCACCTGGCTGTGACAAGCCTCTCATCCGGCTGTGACGAGCCTCTCACTTGGCTCTGACGAGCCTCTCATCTGGCTGTGACGAGCCTCTCACCTGGTTGTGACGAGCCTCTCACCTGGCTGTGACGAGCCTCTCACCTGGCTATGACGAGCCTCTCACCTGGCTGGGACGAGCCTCTCACCTGGCTGTGACGAGCCTCTCATCTGGCTGTGACGAGCCTCTCACCTGCCTGTGACGAGCCTCTCATCTGGTTGTGACGAGCCTCTCACCTGGCTGTGACGAGCCTCTCACCTCGCTGTGACGAGCCTCTCACCTGGCTGTGACGAGCCCCTCACCTGGCTGTGACGAGCCATCATGGGAATATCATCATGGCGACCGCATGAGAAAATGGCACCTGCGCAAGGGGAGAGGGACAGTTCGAGTAGGGGGCAGATCAAGCGAGCGGGGGGAGCAGAGCAAGCGAGCAGGATAAGATGAGGGCGTATTAGAGAAAAAGCGGAAAGATGAGGCCTGAGTGCATGGGAAAAGGATTGGAGAATGGGTGTGAATCGCCAGGAATGCGCCGAAAGTGGGAGCAGAGACGAAAGTGGAAAGCAATTTGAGTAGCACGAACAGTGCAGTGCAGGCAATCCTGGCACATGATCGGAAGCGTCAAAAGACTCACCTGCATGCAGAACAAGACAAGTGATATCGGTAGGTAGGTAGCAGCCGGGTGTCCGCGCCGCGAGTATGCATCATCGCATGCGGCATGGCATGGCATCGCGTGGCATGGAAGTCGCATCGCATGGCATGGTAGCACTTTTCGAGTCGAAGGTGTCGCCAGCTTCGTCGTCAACGAGAGCCATGTGGTTACCAGCCTCCTGAACAAACCATCACGTATACACACAGCACAGAACGAAACAGCATGAGTCCATATAGTACCATTCACAACCACTGAAGCTATATGCTAGCTTCAAGAGATGCACGCTGGAACCTTAAGCTCTCGCAGCGGGTCAGCCAATCGTCACGCACCTGGAAACTACTAACGCACGGTGATTCTAATCCAACGCACATGGAAAACCTCGTTCCAGGCGCGCCTGCCGCGCTGCTGCTCGTGCGCCTGCCACGCGGTTAATCGTGCGCGCCTGCCGCGCTGTTACTCGCGCGTCTGCCGCGCTGTGACTCGCGCGGCGCCATTAGTGCTGATGCGCGCACGCCCTCCGCGTGCCGCGCTGATGCTAGGTGGGAGAGGAGGTGCGGGGTAGGGTGGGTGGTGCAAGCTAGGAGAAGTGAATTACAGGGCGCGGGTACAGAGAGGTATAGGCGCAAAGGCGAGAAACCGATGTGAGGTAGGGCACAGAGATGTATTTTGGCGCAAGGCAATAGTACCTGGTTCGATTCGTCGGTGCAAGGATCAGTTTCTAACAGCTGGAGTCGCTACAGTAGTAATGTGAATATCTCGTTATGTGCTGAAGTTGAATATCCCGTCAAGGTGACCTCGAGAGTCGCATATCAGGACACTCTGCAACTAAGGGGTGGGGAAAAGGAGCGGATGTGGGCGAGTCGACAAGGCAAGAAAGCCGGATGAGACCCGAAATGGCAGAAAAGCCTTCACACAAGTCAATACAGCAGTGCGAGATGGGAAATCTAGACGAAATGTAGGGTTTTTGTTAAACAAACAGCTGTTAGGTCAGAAACGTCGCTTTTGACGCTGCTTGGTGATCAGATAAACGAGATCGGATGCAACTTGAACCAGTCAGTCAGGCATAATCTAGAAAGTGAATGTAGGAAAGGGCAGCGCATACCTGCGGATATAAGCAGCGCAGATCGTAGCGTTTGACTTTAGGCGTTACGCGTGATCATTCGCGTGCGCTGGTTGACTATTTCGTTGCCGTTTTGTTCGGTGCGAGCGTGGAAAGGGCTACGAGAGAGCAGACGCGAATGATACTCCATTCTATCCTTTTGGTCCTAGCAACGTCGACCAAAGTAGGAACAACCGTCTGACGGTGTTGGTGGCAGAATTGATACGAGAGCGCAGTACGGAGGCGGGGATGCGGTGAGGACGCGGGAAAACCGAAAGCAACAGTATGTGCGACGGAACAAGTGACTAGCGTGCGACGCAACAGGCGATTCGCATGTGACACTAGCCGTCGCCGCAACAGATGCCTAGCACGCGTCTCGACCAAAGACTTGGCTAGGTAGTAGGAAAGGGCTAGGATGCGGTGAGGACGCGGGAAAACCGAAAGAAACAAGTATGCGCGACGGAACAAGTGACTAGTGCGCAACGCAACAGGCGATTCGCATGTGACACTAGCCGTCGCCGCAACTGATACCTAGCAAGCGTCTCGACCGAAGACTTGGCTAGTAAGTTGGAAAGATAAGCAACTTCCGTTATTGGGAACGCATCGCTAGCGGCGCCACTAGAGTGGGGAACGACCACTTTCAGAGGTATGAAAGGCGACGAATATCGAGAGAGAGTAGAGAGTGGGTGCTGGAGCAGATGGGGATGAAATGCAACCCCACCCCACCCACCCACAACATGCTCTGAAACATGTCGGTCAAAAAGAAATATAACTAAGCAGCACAGCCTCTCGCCCTAATCAGAAGCGGAAATGCGTGACCAATGCGCTTGTATGATTGGGAAACAATCCCAAAGTAGCTCTAGAGGGAAGGGATGGGGAAAAAAGAAAAAAGACGAAACACAAAAAAAAGGGGGGGTGGAAAACAGAGTCTTCATCCGGAGTGTGATTGGAAACACTATCGAGGGGGATGTCAAGCGGTTCCGATTTGCAAGGGGTGTCGACGCGATTCCAATTTGCAAGGGGTGTCAAAGCGGTTCCAATTTGCAGGGGGTGTCAACAAGGTACTGATTTGCAGCGCGGTCTCGTCAATAGCAAATTTGGATCCTCTACTTATATGCATGCCAACCAACTAACACTTATAACAAAAATGTAAATAGAAAATAGAAACAGCATCAGAAATAGCCAAATGTAGTAGCATGAGCAGTAGCAAATAACAGCAACACCAGCAGTAGCACCACATTACAGCTGTAATACTAATACTACAGCTAGAGCTACAGCTGTAATAGTAGTACCACATTAAAACCTTGATATTAGTACTACAGCTATATCTACACCAACACCAACACCAACACTAACAACAACAACAACAACAACAACACTAACAACAACAACAACAACAACAACAACAACAACAACAACAACAACAACAACAACAACAACAACAACAACAACAACAACAACAACAACAACAACAACAACAACAACAACAACAACAACAACAACAACAACAAACAACAACAACAACAACAACAACCAACAACAACCAACAACAAAAGCAGCACCAAGAAACATGAGCAGCGACAGCAGCATCATGAAATAGCAGTAGCAAATTGCTGCAACATTAGAAATATTAGCAATATCAAATAGCAGAAGCACAAGCAGCACTAGAAAAAATAGAAGGGGAAGGAGAAGGCATGTAATCAGACAAGCAAACTGTCACTAAATTACCAAGGGAAGGAGAAGGGGAAGGAGAAGGGGAAGGAGAAGGGGAAGGAGAAGGAAGGGGAACAGGAAGAGGAAGGAGAGGGGAAGGCGAAGGGGAAGGAGAAGGCGAAGGAGAAGGCAAAGGTGTAGGAGAAGGCGAAGGAGGAGGCGAAGGAGAAGGCGAAGGCGAAGGCGAAGAAGAAGGCGAAGGAGAAGGCGAAAGAGAAGGCGAAGGAGAAGGCGAAAGAGAAGGAGAAGGCAAAGGAGAAGGGTAAGGAGAAGGGGAAGAAGAAAGGGAAGGAGAGGCAAGGGGAACAGGAAGAGGAAGGAGAAGGGGAATGAGAAGGGGAAGGAGAAGGGGAACGAGAAGGGGAACGAGAAGGGGAATGAGAAGGGGAGGAGAAGGGGAAGGAGAATGGGAAGGAGAAGGCAAAGGAGAAGGGGAATAAGAAGGGGAAAGAGAAGACATGAGAAGGAAGGGGAAGGGGAAGGCAAAGGGGAAGGAGAAAGATAAGGCGAAGGAGAAGGCGAACGAGAAGGCAAAGGTGAAGGAGGAAGAGAAGAAGGAGGAGAAGGAGAAGGAGAAGGTGAAGGAGGAGAAGGAGAAGGAGAAGGAGATGGAGAAGAAGAAGGAGAACGAGAAGGAAAAGGAGCAGGAGAAGGAGAAGGAGAAGGGGAAGGGGAAGGAGAAGAGGAAGGAGAAGGCGAAAGAGAAGGCGAAGGAGAAGGGGAAGGAGAAGGAAGGGGAACAGGAAGAGGAAGGAGAGGGGAAGGCGAAGGGGAAGGAGAAGGGGAAGGAGAATGGGAATGAGAAGGCGAAAGAGAAGGCGAAGGAGAAGGGGAAGGAGAAGGGGAAGGAGAAGGGGAAGGAGAAGGAAGGGGAACAGGAAGAGGAAGGAGAGGGGAAGGCGAAGGGGAAGGAGAAGGCGAAGGAGAAGGCAAAGGTGTAGGAGAAGGCGAAGGAGAAGGCGAAGGAGAAGGCGAAGGCGAAGAAGAAGGCGAAGGAGAAGGCGAAAGAGAAGGCGAAGGAGAAGGCGAAGGAGAAGGAGAAGGCAAAGGAGAAGGGTAAGGAGAAGGGGAAGAAGAAGGGGAAGGAGAGGCAAGGGGAACAGGAAGAGGAAGGAGAAGGGGAAGGCGAAGGGGAAGGTGAAGGCGAAGGAGAAGGCAAAGGAGAAGGCGAAGGCGAAGGAGAAGTTGAAGGAGAAGAAGGCGAAGGAGAAGGGGAAGGAGAAGGGGAATGCCAAGGCGAAGGAGAAGGCGAAAGAGAAGGCGAAGGAGAAGGGGAAGGGGAAGGGGAAAGGAAAGGAGAAGGCGTAGGAGGAGGCGAAGGATAAGGCCAAGGAGAACGGGAAGAAGAAGGC